TGGCTGTCCAGCTTTCCCTATATCACTGTCTTTTCTCCATTGTATATTCTTGCCTCCTTTGTCAAAGATTAATTGGCTGTGGGTATGTGGGTTAATTTCTGTGCTATTATGTTCCATTGATCTATGTCTGTTTTTTGTGTCAATACTATGCTGTTTTTGATTACTGTAGCTTTGTAGTACTGTCTGAAGTCTGGGAATCTTATGCCTCCAGCTTTGTTCCTTTTCTTTAGAATTTCTTTGGCAATTCTGGGTCTTTGGTGGTTCCATATAAATTTTAGAATTATTTGTTCTAGTTCTGTGAAAAATGTCATGGGTAATCTGATAGGGATCACATTAAGTCTACAGATTGCTTTGGGCAGTATAGCCATTTTAATATTAATTCTTCTAATCCAAAAGCATGGGATACTTTTCCATTTCTTTGAATCATCTTCAATTTCCTTTATCAATGTTTTATAGTTCTCACTATGTAAGTCTTCTACATCTTTGGTCAGGTTTATTCCTATTTTCAATGGAATATTATTTAGCCATAAAAGGAAATGAAGTTCTGACAAATGCTACAACATACATGAACCCTGAAAGTATTGTGTTAAGTGAAATAACAGATACAAATGGACAAATATTGTATGATTCCACTTACATGAGGTTTCTAGAATAGGCAAATTCAAAAAGATAGAAAGTAGTGGTTACCAGTGGCTGGAGACATATGCAATGGGGAATTGTTACTTAATGGGTACAGATTCTCTGTTTGGATGATGAAAAGGTTTGGAAACACAGTGGTGATGGTAGCACAATACTGAAAATGTAATTAATATTTTACTGCAATAAAATAGTGATACAATAATAAGCTACTTCCACAAAGTTACATGACCGCAGTTTGAAAAACATATTATTCAACACTTCAAATTACAAGGTAAAAAAAAAAATATAAGGTAACTTAAAATGAAACGTTTAAAAATATTCAAAAGCATTGCCAGTGATTTCAATTCTAACTCTAATTACTTCAGTACTTCAGTACTCTTTCCACATCACTGCTGCCTCTCTTAAGTCTAATCCCTTTTCCACATGACTGCCTTGCAACTGAAATAGGGCTAAAAGGTTCCCTAACATAGACCTTGTGTTTGAGGCAAATATATAGTCTTTTCATTTTATAAAAGTGCTTTGTGGGAAATTCCAAAATAAAAGTTGTTTAAACAAACAAACAAAAAACAAAAAAAAAGAAGAAAAAGAAAAAAATAATTTACAAATATAAACATTTACAAAATAAACAAAAGTTAGAATTGGAAGATATTTTAGGAATTATATATTTCGTCTTCTGCATTTTACGGATAAGCCCAGAGAAGTAACGGTTTTATTCACAAAGCTGGGACTAGACTCTATGTCTCCTGAAAGATACTTATGTAGCTTCTTAAAATATATACCAATTAAAACTCTAAAGAACAATTTTCTTTAAGGCAGACTTATTTTCAAGCATTTGAAGTATAAAGACATATCACTCAAATGATGTGCTGGAAGCAGCAACTGAATGACAAGCCTTCAAAATGTAAGGAGCTCACAGGCTGATGCCTAAGAGTATCGTTGGACAAAATATAATACCTCTTCCAATTGTTAAGATTTTGACACAATTTCAGTGACCAAAGCTTCAGAAGGCAGACATAAACGCTGATTACAACTTTAAATAAGATTAGGAATATGGCTTAATGTCACACATAGAAAAATCATAATGCCTTAAATATAAGGTGAAGGAACCAATTTAAAAGTGCAAAGCAGGGAGCTGTCTCTATCAGCCATGCTGGCTGATGGCTCTTGGCTCAAGTGCTTTCTTTCCCTGCTGGAGCACTTTCCTTCCATTTCCCCTCCTGAGCAGTAAGTAGCTGTTCATTTCATCTCTCTGTCTCTGTCATCCTTTCATAGCCTGCAGCAAGTACCCACACTTTGGTGGGCTTCCTAATTTAAGGATCCCTCTATGTGCTAACAGAATGATGATTGTCTCATACCTGCCATTGGGAAAATGCTCAGTAAGGATGCCCTGCTCAGTCTTTCTGGCCCTCTCTCCTCCCCTTCAGAACAACCTTCCTCATATATTCTCTCTTTACCCATAAGCTCCCAAAGAATGGAGGGTGGGACAGAGTGGGAACGACAGTATAGGAGACTGCCATTTGGGGGATGCTTACTTTGTGACAGGGTGGGAAGTTCACATGGGGGTGGCGTGGAAAAGAAGAATGCACAGTTCGGGCTCAGTTCCTCCCTATGACTCCTCCCCAGCTTTACCTGATCTTTCCCCCCCTTACTCCAGGGAATGGTTTCCCATTGGCTCAGAACACTTAGAGCCTATTAGAACATGAAGGCTCCAGGCTTAAAAAATCCCAGCTCAGAAATGCCTATTTTCATACAAAGAATAGATATTAACTTTACTTAGAACAACTTAAAAAAAATGCAAAGCAAAAGCATAGCAATGGGAAAATAAATATTGTTTTAAAGTTTTTTGGAGGTCATTTGTAGATAATTCTAGGCCACCTCAAACCCTTTCCCTCACTCTGCATCATATACAAATTTCTGTTTTACATAAAGACGCTTCTTAAACAAGTGTTCTATAATTGTTTACTTGCCTGGCTTTCCACTAGAGACAAATTTCTGACTAGTGTAACAAATTGAATTTTGTATTACCATAGTCCTGCCACAGAATATCTCCTGTGTGTGCATATTTTTAAGGCATTATCTTTTGAAGTTGAAAGTAAAGTTGAACTTTTCAAGGAGAGAAGTTTTCTCTACATGGCTTTCTAAATTATCAAACTTAAGTAACTGAAGCCTATCTTAATACAAACAGTAAAAATAACATAAAAAGCAAACCAATCTATCTCATAGACTCAGACAATTTACTGCAAACAAATAGGAAACAAACAAAATCAAACAACCTGTTAGATGGGAACAATTTTTTAAGATGAAACTTAAAATTTACAATAAAATAACAAAACCACAAAAAGGGTTTTATTCTAATGGGAATAGTAACAGGAAAAAAATCATCATCTTTTAAAGACTAAGCATAATTTTTATAAGTCTTAATCAACATGACTTACTCTTTAATATCACGAAGCTGATCAACATCTTGCGATCTTGTAAAATCTGGATCATGGGCTAGCAGGTGGATCATATATGGAACTACATATTCAGGCAACAGTGATAATAATTTCTCTAAAGTGAAAAAATTATTAACAATAGTGATAATAGCTTTTATAATTATCTTTTCTAACATTCTAACCACTTCAGTTTACATATTTCCTCTTGGTTATTTCTAAATTTGAGGCAACATGTTACCTAGATGATACTGAAATACTTTTCTCAATTTTGAAGGCTACTAAAGACAAAGAATAACTTAAGATTATACAGTGGGTTCCTGGTAAAGCTAGGAAAATAATTCGTTACTGCCCAACATCAGAGCAATGTGTTCAAATCAAGCCACACTAATGACTCTGTAAGAAAAATGCAGTTCATCCTAACAGTTTTATGCATTGTAAATAGGACTCAGAAATGAGGATTTAAGATTTTAAGTACATCTTAATTACAACAGCATAGTATGAAAATTCCAGTGCTATCATAAAACTACAATAGAAATATATGAAATAAAACCCCCTACAAATCAGTATATTGAGAAGATATATTTGCACTTTGGGAATTTTCCAAGTTACTTACCAGTAGCCATGGGGTTCTGTTTAATGTACTCCCTGCGTATGCTGATATTTTTAAGCAAACACTGTCGTGCATGTGCTCTTCTCTCCTTCACAGGATCTTTGGCACACAAGGCAAAGATCGCCATATACTCCAATGGGAGCAGTAACTTCACAAGTGCCTTATGTAGCTTCTGAGCAAATATCTGCCTTACTTGATAGCACTCATCCTACAGCAGCACAAAATCAAAAATACTTAAATAAAAATATTAGTACTTTCAAAACCATGTCAAAAACTCCTAGTTTAGTTTTTTGAAAATTGGCAAACATTTACAAAAGAGAAGTTTACGCATTTTTAATGCCTTCATTTTAAAAAAAGATAATTACACTGAAGGAGTAAATAGCTTAATATTTGGGGGATAACTAGTTACAGTAGTAATAACCTCTTTTGTGCACAAATCCGTACAGTAAATGGATCTATAATCCATAGAAAGTAAATGAATTTAACTTCGAAGGCCAAGTAATTAAGAAAAATAAGACTGTTACTTACATTAATAACAAGTGCACAGAGCTGAAACTGTTCTGGGGTTATAATTTCATGGTAACAAGGTTCCTGAGCAAGCTTCATTATGGCACTACCAGCAGCTAATCGCAAGCGAGACATATCAGATTTACTATAAACAAACAAAAAAGAAATAAACATTTCCTATAACTATTATTCATAAAATGCTTCAATTCCTTTTTGACAGTTAAGAGCTTTAACATAATTTAAGCTTAAAATGACATAATGTACAAATATGGAAAGTTACTTTGAATCTTGAACTCAGCACAGGGAAAAAGGCTCCAATCATTGACTATCTGATATTAAATTTATCTGCCTTTATTAAAAAAATTGTGTTTATTTTATTGAGGTATAGATTTACTATATATTAATTTCAGGCGTACAACAGTGATTCAAAAAAATTTTTAAGGTTATACTCCAGTTATAGTTACTATAAAATATTGGCTATATTTCTACACTGTACAGTATATCCTTATAGCTTATTTATTTTATACAAAGTAGTCTGTACCTCTTAATCCCCTACCCCTATCTTGCCTCTTTAGAACTAGTTTGTTATCTACATCTGTGAGTCTGTTTCTTTTCTGTTATAGTCACTAGTTTATTTTTTCAGATTCCACATATAAGTGATAACATACAGTATTTGTCTTTCTCTGTCTGACCTATTTCACAAAGCATAATACCCTCCAGGTTCATCCATGTTGTTCCAAATGGCAACATTTCCTTCTCTTTTATGTTTGCCTTCATTTTTAGTTATGCTGTAGCTTAGATTCTCCACCACAGCCAAGCAACTCTGCTTACACTCACAATGGCACTAACTGCAATGCTACCAAAAACCACTTACATTACGAACTGTATTCTTCATTTTAAGAGAAAATTCACATTCACTGTAGAAAATTTGATATTAAAAAATTGTGAAAAATTAAAAATCACCTATCAGTTAAAATCTATTTCCTACAATTTTTAAGTGTACACACACACACACACACACACACACACACACACGATAGAAACAGAGCTTAAGTCTACACAGGTCTGATGAAATGGAGGGGCTAGGAATTAGGAGTTAATTTGCACCAGAAAAGGGGAGGCAGTGTCTCTCAGGTACTAGTCTCTGGGAGGAGACTTTGCTTTATAGCATCAAGTTTTCTGAGGGAACCTAGCAGGTCCAGGCACTCCCACCCCCACCCAGTGGACTTTTATTATCTAAATGGTAAAATGTGACAATGATATGGTGAAAAGACATTCTTCTTACTTTCACTTCTATGCGGAACACAGCATAGCTTTCATATTTTGAAAACTTCAGGAAATGTGGAAAACTTGGCCTGAATCCACAAGTGACTATTATTTAGCATACTAGAGAAAACATGGCACTCTTGGACCACACGACTAACAAACTGAGCACTGGTAACAATGAGGGACCTTCAAATGGTTTCTGAGGCAAATGATTCAGGAATTAAAAAAATTAATAGCTACTATTTGGGTGCTTAATCTATGCTAGGCAGTGTATGAAACACTAATTTTCACTCTGTAAGATGAGGAAACTGAGGCTTAGAAAAGTGATTTATACAAGTTAAAACAGCTAGCAAATGGAGTATAGAATTGAATAAAGTTTCTGATTCCAAAGCCCAAGGTAAACCATAGGATATGTAATATCTGATTAAGACCTGCCTAATAATTTCGTGGTATGTATGTTCCACAGTTAACCATTTCTGTTTTTTGTGATGATAAAAAATGCTGCACAGGACATGTTTGTGTGTATAGTTTTGGATGATTCTTTTTTTCATGAGTGTAATAAAGAGTCAAAGGATAACATTTTTAAGGATTTAGACACAAAACGTCAAACTGTTCTGCCAAGACTGTGCCAATTTATATTCACACAAGTAATAAGGGGACCCATTTCCTGATCTCATGGAGCAATGCTTGCTTAAAAAAATTTTATTTGTTGATTTAACAGGCAAGAGATATCACTTAAGTTAAAATTGTATTTATTCTATTCACTGATGCTAAACATTTTTTTAAAAGATAAAATTGGTAATATATAATCTTCAGCTCTATTGGGGATCCTATTTGTCACTGATGTATAAAAACTCATTATTAAGCCTCTGCTATACACGGTACATAATTTCCCCAAACTTAGAACTTCTTACTATCTCCAATCTTCAATCTGTTCATGCAAAGCTACTCTTGGCTTACTCTATGATAAAAATAACTTTTCATCATTTTCTTCAGTTATCAAAGCATTCAGCATCTCTATTGTAACTGTGCAGTATCTTATCTCTTCCACTAGAATCTATATTCCTTGGAGAAGTAATTGTACCTTAAAAAAAAACTTGGCAGTACTTGGAATGATCGTGCTCAATAAATGCTGAATGTATAAATGAACAGTAAGCCTATCCTCTAACACAAATTTTTAAAGTAAGAATGCAACACAAGTAAAATTTTTCAGTTATTTTTCCTGGACTCTAGTAAATCAAGAATTTGCAAGAGACAAGGATAATGAAAATTCAGCTTTTATTTTCATCTTAAAAGGAAGAGAAAGAAGAGATGGTGTGGGGGTGGTATAGCTCAGTAGTAGAGTGTGTGCTTAGCATGCACAAAGTCCTGGGTTCAATCCCAGTACCTCCATTAAAAATAAATAAATAAACCTAACTATCCACTCCCCCTCCCTCTAAAAAGAAGAGACGGTGATTTCACAGATTTGAAGAGTGAAAATGTCTAGAAATGGAAACTTTTTTTTTTGCATCTGCAGAACTTTGAATACTCTTCAGCAAACCACAGGAAGGCTGCAACTCTTCCTTCTTTGAACCTATACTAAAATTTGTATTCCTTTCATGGCACCAAGTTACTTTACTTGTTCTATCACCACACTACAGGGTAAGTTCCTTAAAGACAGGAACTGAATTTTATTTGTTTTTGCTGCAATGCTTTTCATAGTGTTTCATAATAAAGAGTAGTAATTCAACAAATACTTATTTAATTGAACAAAATGTTGAAGCTAACTGTAACATTGCTATAGTGATTATGACTAAAAATTCATTGGAAAAAGAAGTCTCTAGGAATAAAGAAAAATATACCATCGTTATTGAGATATAAACCCCAAATGAGTGCATAAAAATTGAATGCAAAGCACATAGTGCAGTTATAACAGTCAACAATAATTAATCCACAACACTGCAAACTGACTATACTTCAATGAAAAAAAATTAGTTAATCCCATGTAAGCTTTAATAAGATGTTGAGCGTAAAAAAACTGAAAAGGGAGAAAAATCTCACCTGATCCTCTTTTGCTCTGTCAGGTCACCCTCACTAACCAACATCGCTGATAATAACCGAAGAGTTGAATTGGCAGATTTGGACTGGTTGTTTTTCATACCCAACAGCCATCTTACCAGAAGTTTAATTGCCTGTACCTATAAAATATTAACATGCTAAAAAAGGAAAGGAACTTAAAATTCCACTTAAAGGGAAAACTGATTTATGTTAGTTAGATTTGTGAATTACTTAACTACCAGCAGACATATTTTAGTAAACAAGTCTGTAGGATAATAACAATATTTATTCTGTTTAATCTGCACCAGGTACCTTCCCCAGAGCTGTAAATGTATTACTTTATTTACTCTCCCAAACAACTCTCTGAGGGAGGTATTCTTATTTCCAATAAATAAGACAATTTAGACACATTACTATGATAGATGACTTACCCAAGGCCTGACTCCCAAACTCAGACTTTTCACACTTGGACACTTGTCCAATATTTTCAACTTATTTAAAAAGATATTGCTTAAAAATTATTTAAACTATACCAATTATAGTGATTAAAAATAACTATTTAGATAGACTTTAATATTTTTTGTAGTACTGAAAAACTATTTTGAAGAAACAATTAAGTCTGATTCAGTCTCACTTAACATTCTGATTTAAAAACAAAACTAGGAGATTCCATAATTATTCATAGTCATAGTTACTTGGCGGTTTATACTCAAAAAGTTGTTACCAATATACATGAAAGAACTAAGGATCTAGGTAGTATTTATCATATTAATTGACAACCTGAAAAAAGGAATTGATAGAATATATGATGACTATGAAGCTACTCAAGGTGAAACAGATTATCAAGTAAAATGATAATGAAGAAATCTTGTTTTAAATCCCAAGACTACCACTTTAAAAATTAATTTTACCAGAGTACAATTTAAATCTATCGAAAGTTACCAATCCGATGACAACCATCTGTTTTTGACAAGTTAATATTATATGCTTGTAGAGCAACAGTGGTAATGAGACTAGACTTGAGATGCTTCTGAGCATCAACATTCTACAACAACCTCTGTAAAACAGCCTCACTGCAATTGCCTTAGCAGGCAGGCAGGTCTACAGAACATTCTGACATACATATATAAAAATTACTCAATAACAACTAAAATTTGAGTAACTTTAAAGCACCTGATTTAAAAATGCTTATTAGCTGTTAGGTTAAAAAAGATTATCTATAAATGTTCATTATTTAAACATAAAAGTTATCAAGACCTACACAAATTTACCTTTGCTAGTACTTCAGGGGAAACCTCTTCATCTGGAGACCATAATTTTCCATTCTTTTCACCTGTTGACTACAGACAAATTTTACTTTTAGAAAAAATTTTAAAATTTTGCTCGGTAAGTTTTTCATGCTGAACAATGCAGTGCTCCAGGATACTCACAGGAAATGGACCAAGTAGTGACTGGAAAAGAACAAAGCTGGAGGGCTCAAACTTCTTGAGTTTGAAACTTACTACAAATCTATAGTAATCAAGACAGTGTGGTCAGTACTGACATAATGACCAATGGAACGAAATAGAGAACCCAGAAATCTCTCACACATATGGCCAATTGGTTTTTAACAAGAATGCTGAGACCAATTATTGGGAACAGTCTCTACAACAAATGGTGCTGGAAAAAACTAGATATAGCCACATGCAAAGGAATTAAAGCTGGACTATTATCTCATATCATATACAAAAATTAACTTAAAAATGGATCAAAGATCTTAATTTAAAAGCTAAAACTATAAAACTCTTAGAACATGATGTAGGGAAAAAACTTCATGATCCTGGATTTGGCAAATGTCTGACAAAGGTATAAGACTCAGAATATATAAAGAATTCTTACAAATCAACAACAAATAATTAAAAGTGGGCAAAGGACTCAATATCCAAAGAAGATAAACAAATGGCCAATAAGCACATGAAAAAAATTCTCAACATCATTAGTCATTAGGGAAACAAATCAAAACCACAAGATACTTCTTTACACTACTGGAATGACTATCAACAAAACAGGAAAGAGTAGGTGTTGACCAAGATGTGGAGAAACTGGAAGCCTTGTGCATTGCTTCTAGGAATGTAAAATGGTACAGCCACTTCGGAAAACAGTCTGGCAGTTCCTCAAAAAGTTCAAAATAGAATGACCATGTAACCCAGCAATTCCACTCCTAGGTATATAACATAAGAATTTGAAAACACTGACTCAAATGTTCAGATCAGCATTATTGACAATAGTCAAAAGGTGGAAAAACCCAGCCGTCCATACAACAGAATATTATTCTGGCATAAAATGAAGTTCGGAGGAGGGTATAGTTCAAGTGGTAGAGCACATGCTTAGCATATACAAGGTCCTGGGTTCAATCCCCAGTACCTCCTCTAAAAATAAATAAATAAGTAACCTAATTACCCATCCCCCACAAAAATGTTCTGATACATACTATAACACAGATGAACCTTGAAACCATTATGCCAAGTGAAATATGTCAGACACAAAAGGATAAATACTATATTATAAGAGGTATCCAAAATAGGCAAATTCATGGTATGGGAAAGAACAAGAGAGGTTACCAGAGGCTGAGGGGAGGAGACAATGAGGAGTTATTGGTTAATGGATACAGTCTCCATCTAAGATGATAAAATTCTGGAAATAGTGGTAGTGGTTACACAACAACGTGGCTGTTCATTTTAGGTGGTAGCTTGGGCCATTTTGTAGAGTTACTCAGCTTTCCTGTGTTATCCCCTGTGTATTTAGGAGGTACATGTTAGTAAACTTATTTGCTTTTTATTTTCTTTTTTTATGAGTAAAAGTAGATTTATTTAGAGAGATGTACACGGGGACAGCGAGGTGGTGGGGAGGTTAAAGGTAGACACATTCTCCACAGAGTGCGGGTCATCACGGAAAGCAAGAGAGAGCGAGCACCTGTTGACTTTTAATAAACAAAACAAAACAAAAAATGCCCAACAACAAAACCAAGAACACGGGTGTATATAATGTGAGTGAACTGCACACTTAAAAATGGTAAAAATGGCAAAATTTATATTATGTATATTTTACCACACACAAAGGAGAGAACCATCTTAAAACAGAATTTATCAACAATCAATTCATCACTTAAGAGATGTCTTAAATTTTACATTTGTTGCCCACCAGCCACATCCATCAACAGTGCAGAGAAAAGCATGAATGCATGCAACGGGAAATGAGACTTTGGCCAAACTCTTCCATCCTTGTCTATCTCGTTCAAACAGGGAGAGGGAAAAGAGGAAGGAGTGCACTGGCAAGTATCTTTCTTTTTAAGTTCGGATATTGAGGGTTCAAAGACTATTGAACCATGTAGAAGGACTAGGTAAACTGGGTAGTTAGTACTGCATTGAAAGTCATCCACAATTGTCCAGCAGGTAACACCAATTTGTGTCTTCATTCAATAACTCTTTTATTTAGATCCATTTGGTAAAGTGGTGATTCCAATCAGATGTATGGTTCAGAAATCACTCGGGGAGCCTTTTCAAGCTAGACATCCCTAAGCTGTAACCCAAAGGTGAATAAATCAGGGTGCGTGCTTGCTCTCTCTCTTACATGCCCATCTTTCAATAACTAAAACAATACATTAACTCTAGTCCCAAAAGTGCAATATAATTAATTATATTTCAAAAAGCTAGTCAAATACAATTCCAGTTATATTTTAAATGATGTTTGATAAAACAAAAAGCACTCCAGTAAATTATCCTTCAAATATTAGGATAACAGCATCTGACTTATACTTTTCACTTCATGATTCATCCATCTCATGTTCTCATGTTTTTCTTTCTTAAATGTTAAGTTCTACTAATAGCTACACAGAAGTCAGAATGTCATCTGGAAATTTAAATAAGGAGAGAAAATATATAATAACTTAAAAGTAAAAGAGAATTATATATAGAGAGAAGCAGAAATGCTGTTTCTGTGACAAAAATGCAAACCATCTTAATCTCATGATTCTAAATTTAATTAAATGAGAAACTTACCCTGTCATTCATTAGCAGATCTTTCACAATAAAATTTGCTACTACAGATTTCATTGGGGAAGCAAATTGATCTGGTGCTAACATGGAAATGTGGCCCAGTGAAACTAATGGAGTTATAAGTTGTTCTGGTACATCAGCATTCAGACTCCTACTGAGTGGCTATAAAAATAAAACAGTCAAAATTACCATTCTGTCCTATAAATATCTAGACATTTTATGGAAACAGTACACGTTCCTAAGTCCGCCTGAATTTATCATGCCAAAACAAATCTGTTCTAATGAGATGATCAAAAGTAACTTCAGCCATACTAAACACTTGATTCTTATTCTACCTACTGAAATTTAACAAGATTGAAAGAATATAGAATGATAAAAGAAAAAAAAAGGCCCACATAAAAGGTACAATGCAAGAATATTTCTGCACTGTCAAATCAGCATTATTTTCAAGTCATGTGCAATAGGTTTGCTATGTTGGTGGATTTCTTTTCCTCTGGGGACATTTTAAATGATCATGGATCATCAAAAATAAGAGTTTACTGGGTTCCATTCATACTACATCCAATTTATGATAATAGGAATACTTTTCCAGTAGTGGAATCAGGCCATGGATCATACATATGGAAAGGCAAACAGAACTAATTTTCAAGTAGGGTTGTCAGGCACTTTAAGCTGGGTGATTTAAAGTCATCTACTAATAATTTCTGAGGCTAACAGGACCATTGAGCCAATAGGCTGACATTAAGTAAAATGTAACACAAACACGCAAAACATCTTTTAGTACGTAGTATCTGAACATATAATCCCATCTAAAGTATGGGACTATTTAAAGTGCTGAATAAAAGAGAGCCCCTGCTCCCATGGAATTTATTTTCTAGAGTGGGACTAAAAAGCTAAAAAAAACTACCTTCTATCTTTATCAAACTATACAGCATAAAAATAAGAATCAACTAAAACACATCCTATAGTTATACATACCTCAAAAATCTGTGCAAGCTGGACTTCTTTATTTGTGAATATGGCATGTATACAGTGAACGGCCTGTTTTGCTTGGTGTGGAGTACCTCTCTTTGCTTTCTGATGTAAAATGGGAATTAAGGTCCTGGAAAAAAATATCATAGTTTTAAAAAAGCCCATTAACCACAAGTAGTTCTTTTCGTTGTCTCCTACTTCATCTCCAGAAACCATTTGGATGTATGCTGGTAGAAAGCCTCTTTTAAAAATTACCTGATCTATAGAAAGATTTAAAGCTCCTTCTCTGTCACCAAGTAAAATCCAAGAAATAACAATGCCTCAAAAAAAGGCTACTCCAGGAGATAATTTTCACTTTAAAGCCACTGCATGAATATGGAGAAATAAACAAGCCATCCTTAATTTATAATCTAAAATTTGACCCATACCATAATTTTACAGTTACCTTCTAAGAAGATTCCTAAATTTTCTACTTCCCTTTCACAATCCCCATCAGTTATTTTAAAGCAGCCATGGTGGGGGTTGGGGTGGGGAGAAGCAAAAGGCCAAGTTTTACTTAAAAACTGAAATAAGCATACCAGTAAAAGGGAGAATGAAAGGATACAGACACATAGGTAGAAAAGTAATAAAACATCTAACAATTATTAAGTATTTGTGCCAAGCACTGTTCTGTTTTTTTTAACATGAATTAATTAAATTAATCCTCAATATAGCCCAAAGAAAACTATTATTATAGTCATTAAATGGATGAGAAAACTAAAGCACAAACATATTCATTTAAATTTCTTAAGGTGACAGAGCTAGGAAATGGTGAAGTTGGGATTTGAAGACAAACATTTCTGTTCCAAATCTATGCACTTAGCCACACAGACACTGAAGATTAAAAGTAAAACAATCTTTCTATAGGACAATATGGAAATGCATAATACAGTTATAATGCATTAAGTGTTGATGATACGGGAAAACATTTAGTAGAATGAAGAAAATGGCATGTTTGTATCAACTTATTAAAAAATTGGCATATAATCAAGTAAATAGAATATTCATAAAATTATGTATCAAAATGTTAATAGTGACTTTCTTTTCATTTTTACTTTCTAAAGTTTCAGCTTTTTGCAATGAACTTATTACATGTTTTTTTTAAATCAGAAGAAAATCCACAGGCAAAACAAAAAATTTAAGGAAAGATACTTGTCATACATTTAATGCAATACTATTTAACAGATTATAAGGTCACTGATACCATATGCAATGGCGACAAAGGGTCCTCTTATACTAACGGGAGGCTAGACATTAAGAGCAATACCCTAGACCCCAAGTCATGCACCTCAACCAAAAAACTGGAACATATGCTAGTCAGTATAAGTTTAATTTGATATTTATGAATATGCCACATTTCTCTCCATGCAGATTTAGAATTATGAGAGGCATTTTCATGCCCAAATAGCCTCCTTGACTGAGCAGTGTCTTTCAAACCCATTTACCAGAGTAATAGTTCTTGTAAGTAACACTAGTAGGTAACAAAGGAAGATACCATGTTGATCAAATTGTTGTTAAGTGTATTATTAATTAGCCTAATGAAATGATGATACATAAGTCAACTTTAACCTTTCTAGTGTGCTATAATCTAGTGATGTCATCAGGGTTATTACTGAGGTCTGCAGTGTTGTGCTTCTCTGCTTTTCAGTGATTCTCTCGTTCCTTCCCCATTAGTCTTAAGAACAAGAGGTTTTATTCCTTGTGTCCAAAGTTAACTCTTCCACTGCTTCTTTTGGGATAGAATTCCTTAAAGAGTAAATCTTTACCTTAAAAAATTGTATAGGTTTTCATACCTTGAAGGACTCACAAATAAATTTATCCTACTCTGTCAATGATTTTTTCTATAATATACAAATATAAAGATTATCATTTCTAGAGTATAAACTCCTTAAGAGAGTAAGGACAGTCTGTGGTAATTCTTTCACATTAGCCAGTACAGTGCTGCAATGAAAACAACATACAATAAATATTGAATTATTTCTCAAATTTAAATTACTGGCTCACAAATTTAAAGTCATGAGTTCTCTTAGTATTATTACCCTGTGAGGAAAAACTGGTTTGATTTGGAAATACTCTGAACTATTTACATATACACCTTGAAAGTGTGATTCAATAGCTTTCAGCAATGTGTTCTTCCTCCAAAAGACATGTCCCACATTTCATGTCTAAATATAAGCTCAGCACAATGTTGATCCTAAGGCAATCCCTTTAAGACGCCAAAGTGAAAATATCAAAGTGTATTTCATTCTTAAGAGGAGAGGGGAAGTAATCTAGAGGGAGTGATAAGAGCAACATGGCAACAAATAAATATTAAGCACACTACTTGATTATCCAATTCTTGGGTGGAATATGAAGGTAGTAGCTTACTGAATTTATAACCCAGTTAGAAAAAGATGAACCTACAATAATTAGGAAGATATATTAATCACAAGTTCTAAATTCTGTGGTAATTTTTGCTTATTAATATTAGTATCTAAAAATCATATTCTTTTTGAAAATTATTTTATTTTTATTGAAGTACAGTCAGTTTACAACGTTGTGTCAATTTCTGGTATATAGCATGTTTCAGTCATATGTATACATACATATTAGTTTTCATATGGGTTTATTATGGGTTACTACAAGATATTGAATCTAGTTCCCTGTGCTATACAGTATAAACTTGTTTATCCATTTTATATACAATAATTAGTATCTGCAAATCTGGAACTCCCAATTTATCCCTTCCCAACCCTTCCCCACTGGTAACCATAAGTTTGTTTTCTGTATCTGTGAGTCTGTTTCTATTTTGTAAAAAAGTTCATTTGTGCCTTTTTTAAGATTCCACATGTAAGTGATATCATATGGTATTTTCCTTTTTCTTTCTGGCTTACTTTACTTAGAATGATGATCTCCAGGTCCATTAAAATAATTTTCTTCAAACAAAGTTTCAACTTGTTCTTCTGCCCATATTCTAATGGTAGGGGAGATTGTGAAGCAGAGAAAAGATGAAACAAAGGATATAGAATAGTAGTTTCTAAATAAGAGTTGTCTTTCCTTTCTTCTGTCTTCCTGAGTGAAAGGGAAAAATGATCCTATGACTCCCACACTTAGAAAAGTTCTCTGTTTACCAATAGAAAAAAACATACTCACGATCGTATCTGGGGTAGGTCTGTTTCTATTTTGTGGCCTGTATTTCTAAAAATTTGTATAGCAGCTTCTGCTACCTTGTCATCTTCCATTCTGAGGCACTGTAACAGGGACTCATATGTCTCTGCAGAGTGGAACGAGGTAGGATGTGTGAAAGACAGAACCTAGAGGAATAGATATAGCTTTAGAAGTACAGACAATAGTTTAAATCCATTAAAAGAAAAGAATTATTTTCTACTATAAATAAAAATTTAAATTATGGGCTGCATATGCCAGCAACACAGAATAAAGATGGTATCCACAGCCTCCCTTGTGGTTAGTTGTGGCTAATGAGACACTAGCAGAAATACTGTGCAATAGATTGCTGATGTAAAAACAGCCCTTGCCCTATTTTCTTCTTCACCTCGTAGTCTATTCTAATACTGGGAATGTGGGAAATGTGGCTCCTTTTTTATGGAGTGTGATATCGTGATGTGAACAAAATACTAACATAGAGCTTTATTTCACTGGCAAAAAGATTCTGTATAAGAAAATATTTTAAGTGAAATTCATCATAAAAATTTCACTCATTATAATAAACAAAAAGCCATTATTGTAAACTTTTAATCATGCTTACAAACATAATTATTCCCCTTATTTATTATGACATAAGTTCCAGCCTATCCTTAAGGAATTTACAGCAAGTTAGATGCAACATGTCTACAAAGTTTACCTTCAATGAGGAAGAAACAACTTGACTGCCCTTATTAGGGCTAAAAGCAGAGAAACAAAGACAGGGAAGTAGAGTATGTACTCCTCATTTACTTTTTCAGTAAGATTTATTTAATCGGTTATAAAGAGAAGAGAGTGTCTCATTTGGTAAGGTTTACAATGATAATATTTAGATATGAGGTTTTATTTACAGGAAAATGTAGAATTAAACTTGAAAAGCTGAATCAAAAAACCTATTAAAAATGTTTGCCTTAAAGATGATTTCACTCTTAAAACTATTTAAACATATAACCCTATTACTAAAAATTAAAATCTTTCTCATGAAGCATCATATCAATTCTTTCCATGAAATGATATTTAGACCATTCCAATACAATCCCATCACTCGCTTTTTTTGTCTAATGTTCATTGCACTAGTTTGTCTCTACTTCCGTAGTTCTTGTGTTGTCTTAATGATCTGTCTCTCTGCCTTCAACAACTTCTCCTCTTTACTCCATCTACTGAAAGCTTTACCAAGTGCTGCATCATATTAAAAACCAGGTTAACTGTCCTTGATAGTAAGTACCTTTCTACCCCAGTGGCACACCACAATCTGGAACCAACTTTGTCTCCTGGTATTTCCCAAAGCAATACTTCTCTCTAGTCAGGCTAGACTCCCAACAATCCCTAAAACATGCCAAGAATTATTCTCTTTGATGATGCTCTGTTCCCCCTAGATTAAGTTGAATCTCTTACTAACTGATCAATTCTCTGCATTCTATTATGATTATCAATTGTTTAAAAAATCCCCGATCACATAGATGCTGTCATATTAATTCCTGTGAGCAGTCCTTCTACCCCAGATGCAGGTCCTCTGAAAGGTAAGACTAGATCATTAAGCACATGCTATTACAATCATGGCAGGCATGCAAATGATGAACAAAATAGCAAAACCCAAAAAACATTATCTTATAATGTAAAATAATTACATTATTATAATGTAGAAAACATGTTATTTTTATAAAATATGATTTCCACTACAAATTTTAACCTTTTGAATAGTTTCCAATGAAATAAAGCCTGACTGATGCATATCCTTAAAGGAATTCAAATTATCACTGAGGAAATGTGTGGAGACAAATTGTTTAAAAAATACCTTAAGAAGTTCAAGTCCTGAACGAATAGCTGTATCTGGACTTACACCCTCCTCTTCATCATCTGCTGTCCCCTCTATTGATTTATTCATCAGTTTTACCAGTGCACTATTAAAATAAGAAAATCTAAATTAGTAACACCTCTAGAATAGTAACTGCATCCTAATTGCATTGTGGCAGACATATGTAGAACCTAAACATCAAATTCAAGTATTTTCTGAGAGAAAAAGTTATTTTGTGACTTTTTAAATTTTGCTCTACACATGACAGCTGCACTTATTTTTTAGTTTGTTTGCCCCTTCAACTCAATGTATAATAATAGTAACTCTACGGAAAAACAAAACTAAAATTAAATCATACACATACTAAAATATATTTTGTAAGTATAAGCAAGGTAATATTCATTCCCATATAGAGATCATTTGCAATTTTAAGAATAATAAGATGGTAGTTGCTTAATGGACAAATGACAATCCACTCAAAGCAAAAAACAATTAATAAACACACACATGGACAAAGGCATTAAATTAATCACTCGCAATTAATTTATCAAATCAGTAATTCTGTTCCTAGAAATTTATAACAAAGAAATTTATAGCAATTCATAAGAAGTACCAGGCTATATTCATAAACAGATTCATCAATTAAAAATTATTTAAGTGTCCACCATTACTGAATTAGTTTTTCAAACATACCTAGCAAAATGAAAAGTATTACCTGATCAATAAAAATCAGACTATGTAGCAATATGATATTATTTAAGTAAAAACAACTGTAATTTTTGGTTTTGAGACTTCATTTCTTCATCAAGAAACTGAAGAAAATATTACTTTATTTTGAGGACATTAAATTATTATAGCAAATGGCCTAGTACAGGCAAATATTCAACAAATGGATCATAATCATAAAAGTTTTAGGTTAAATTTTTTCCCTTGGTGTTATACATATTTAAGTCAATAAAATTTTTAAAGTATAAAATACATGTTAAGATGCAGATGCTGAAATTTAAACCACTGTTAGCATTTTCATTTCCCCTTTTACATCACAACAATTTAAAAGCTTCATCAATATCTTCAATTGATGCAAAAACTTAAAAAAAAAACAAATTGGATGTTAGTGTATGAATATTAACTTATAATACAACTTACATACCATACAATTCACCTATTTTAAATGTGTAAGTCAGTAGTTTTTTAGTATAGTCATAGGGCTGTACAACCATTACCACAATCTAAAATTAGCTTTCCCCTCACCCCAAAACAAACCTCTTCCCCATTAGGAATCATTTCTTATTCACCCCCACCTCCTCTATCCCTAGGCATCTGCTAATTTACTTTCTGCTGCTATATACATTTACGTATTCTGAATATCTCATATAAATGGAACCATACAATACGTGATCTTTCAAAAGTCCACTTCTGAAAGAAAAGTGGGCTCCTTTCTCTTAGCAAACTGTTCTCGAGGTTCATCCATGTTGTAGTATGTAACAGGACTTCATTGTTTTAATTCTGAACAATGTTCCAGTGTATGCACATAGGACAGTTTGGATTGTTTCTACTTTTTTAGCTACTGTGAATAATATTGCCATGAACATTCATACACAGGTTTTGTATGAGCATATATTTAGGAGTGTAATTACAAGTTCATATAGTAACTTTGTGGCACCATATACCACTTTTGGAGGAACTGCCAAACTGTTTTACAAAACAGCTCCACCATTTTACATTCCCACTAGCAATACATGAGGGTTCCAGTTTTTCTACATCCCTGCCAACTTGTCTTTTCGATTATAGCCATTCTAGCAGGTGTAAAGTGGTGTCTCACTGTGGAGATATATACATAAAACATTCTCATCTCCACAAAAACTTGCCTTATTCCTCTTCTGTGGTCAATTCCCTTTCCCAACTTGGCAATCACTGATGTGGTTTCTGTCACTATAATTTTACCTTTTCTAAAATTTTGTATACTTTATATATTTGCAACTGACAACTTTCATGTGACAATGCTTTTGAGATTCCTCCATGTAGTTGTATAGAATCAGTGGTTCATTCTTTCCTACTTCTGAATATTCTGTTGTATAGGTACACAACAATATGTTTATCCAATTACCAACTGATGGACTTCTAGGTCTTTCCACTTTAAAGATGTAAATAAAGCTGCTACAGGCAGTTAAATATTAGTCTTTATGGGAAGTATGTTTTCTTTTCTTACAGGTAAATGTCTAGTATTGGGATTCCTGAGTTGTTTGGTGATATATGTACATTTAATGTTACAACAAACTGCTTTCAACATCACCAACACATGGTTAAGTCAGTCTACATCCTTACCAACACTGTGTATAGTCACTATCTTAAATTTTAGCCACCTAGTAAGTGTGTAGTGGTATTTCTTATTGTAATTTGAATTTGCATTTCCCTAATAAGTAATAATGTTGATTGTCTTTTATTGTGCTTATTTACTATTTGTATATTTTACTTGGTAAAGTATCTGTTAACATTTTTTGCTCATTTTAAAACTGGTCTTAATATTGAGTAGTAAGAGTTCTTTTAATATTCTGGATATAATTCTTTATCAGATATGTTTTGCAAATATTTTCTGGTTCTGTGGTCTGACTTTTCTGTTTCTTAATGGTGTCTTGCAAAGAGGAAAAAAATAATTTTCTGTCACTGTGCTTTTTATGTCTCATCTAAGAAATCTTGCTTACCCTATATTTTGTTCTAGAAGTGTAACCTCTTACATTATATCTTACATCTTACAATATATATATATATATTTAAAGTTATTCCCAATTTGAAAAAAATATTCTAAATTAAGCTTTCTGTTAGAAGGAAATCCTATAAAAACCATGAATTTACTAACAAGATTATAAATGTTTGATAAAATTTACAAATGTATCTGACCACTTGTGATAGAAGTCAGTGCACACATTTATTTATTCAGTATTTACTGACTACCTATTGTTTGCTAAGTCTTAGGGTTTATCCTGGAAATATAGTGCAAAACAAGACAGGCATAATCTCTGCTTTCATTACAATGCAGGTGGGGTCACCACTATGAGTCAAAACACTATCTGAGAAAAGACCCAAATACTGAAGCCAGAACTGTAGTCTTCTCTCTTGTGAAAGTATTTTCCTTCATTTCTAAATTAGATAAGTAATATGCATTCCATATACTTCATGGGATATCATGAAGCAAAAGATTATCACCCATCTAAAACTGCTTGGGACGTCTTCTTTGGTAAGGGACATCTTTCTCTCCTATTCTGTATAAGAACTGTTTCAAATCTTTACCATTCTAACTTAGGTCTATTTTTTAAATTCTTACACTGAGCAGATTACCTCACTTTTAACCTAATGGAGAATAACGGAGGCTTTGAGTAAAAACTGTAATTTTCTATACCTTATCTTCTTACCTCCTCGAATTTATATCTATCATTTTTTCATGTCATTGGGGAAGATTTCATTCCTCCTGTTCTGTTTCTTTAGGGATATTGTTCTGTCATAGTTCTGTTCCTTTTAGCCCATCTTCAACCTCTCTTCTTTTAATACCTTTTTTTAGCCTTTAATCACTTACTGCGATGTTAAATCAGAAGCCAAATAGGAAAAATCAACTGGTTCCCCGACTATCCCATTTATGCCCACAGAAGAGCATTAGGTAAGGGGCAGGTGGACCAGCTAAGACCTGGGATTCTTTCCCTGCTGAGGGAGTCCCAAACAAGGGTTTATGCCCTTTTATGGAACTGAGAGAAGGGAGAGGAGAAGGGTCAGGAGTGGAAAAGTACTCAGTCAGAGATGAGAAGATATTTTCATAGCTTCTACTTTCCTCCTCCTGATAAGGAGATCTTGGCAGAGACACCTGGGAAAAGCCTTGGCTCAAGACCCCCTTACCCCAATATACTCATAAGGAGGCCTCAAATGGAGGCATCTGGGTTCAGAACACAGCCATATGCAAGGCCATGGACTGTAAGCTCCCGAGTTCTTGACTGCAACTTCTTTCAGAGAATGCAGTGCATTGCCTGTGTACAAAGTTTGGTGCATGGGGGGCAGTTTTCCCCAATGAGGCCTTCCAGATAAAGTCTTTGTAACTGACTAGGGTTGAGCTTGAAAAATCACACACAGGATTTGGCCTGAACTCAAGACTCTTCAATACCTTTTAAAGGTATTTAAATATTCAAAATTCCTTCATTAAAAACAACAAAAAAAGACCCTTCTTCAAACTTAATCTCTGCATCATCTCATTTTTCTCCTTTGCTTTTTATAGCTAAACTGTTTATACTGGTTCCCCCAGATAAATGGGGAACATTTATCTCCTATAGCAGTTTAGAGGTATGACAGGGTATATAGCCCTTTGGTTTTCTCAGACCTCAAGGTGGCCAGGTGGGATACAGTGGACTCCTACTGAGCTAGGCCAGTCACCTCTAGGCTTGAACAGTTTTCTCTGCTCAATATTTCCTTTGTGAAAACATGATGTGGATGTGGAAGGACTATCTTATGCCCTTCTCAATCGATGGTAATCTAATTCACCCTTGCTAACCAAAGAAACTATTCTGGGCATTGTGTTGTTTTTCTATTTTCTAAATTCAATGGATACTTTTTTAGGACTTATTTCACTCTTGGTAGCATCTGACCCCTGACCTTTTAGTCCCTCTTTGGCTTCTGTGATACCACTTTCCTGATTTTCTACTTTTGACCATGCCTCCATTAAAACATTTTTCAAATTTAATAAATTCCTTATCTTTTGCCAGCTTCTTAACTGCTAATTATCTGCAGGATTCAGTCCTCAACCTTTTTCCTTTTAAATTGTACACTCTCTCCAGGTTTAAATCATTACTACAATCACTACTTCACTTTCAACCACTATCTACAGACCAATAACTAACTGTAGTATGCATATGTATATTTGTATGGACATAAGTCTGAGGGAAATATACCAAAATAAATAAATAAATTTAAAAATGGTTGTATTTATAATGATTTTCTACTATTTCCAATCCTTTCTTCCCAAATCTTTCATTATGGTTGAAGTACATGCAATTTTCTAAATACCTACTGATTCCTTTTGCCTTTGTTCTTTTATGTCTGCTAGAATAGCTACTAACACTCATTCAGCACTTACTGTGTGTGAGGCATTATGCTAAGTGTTTTACATATTCATGTGTTATTTCAGCCTCTCAACAACTCCACTGAGTAGTAATTACTATTATTGTTCTTATTTTAAAGATGAGAAAATTAAAGCTCAGAGTAGTTTAAATAACTTACCCAGTGCCATGGGGCTAGTGGCCTGGTCTGCTCTTGCCCTGCAATCTTCACCTTGCCAATCTACTAAAATTCCTACTGATCTTTCACTACCCATATTGTATACCATCTATTTCAGGAACCTTCCCTAATAACAAACTTATCTCACAGTCTGGGTTAGGTAACTCTCCTTCCCCAGTTACCCAATGTACTTTACAAATTGCTCCATTAAATGTAATGTTAAATGAATCATCAAGGCTTTTATCTGCAATTTATATTCCATGAGTATTTGTTACATGGAAGGAGTATTATGACATATTTTCCAGAAAAATTAATGGGAATTTTGCATAAAATTAGTCTCTTTGAAATCCTAACCACAAGTTGTTTTCTCTGAGTCCAAACAACCATGAAGCTATCGAAAAAAAACTGGGTTTTTGGTCTTTTAAGATTGTAGATCAAACACTAGCTTATTATAATTTACTAAAGTAATGAAACCCTGTGAGGCCTCATGGAGACAAATAGCAGAGGTTTCCTGATGCCATTATATGTCTCTTTCAAAGTCAATATGCAAAGGTAAGAGTGCTCAAGTCTGTCATTTCCTTGATTTATCCCATTAAAATCAAATGGTATAGAGCAAAGAATCTGTTTAAGTTATTATAGTTTTTTGTCATCACCCAGCTGTGGAACATACCACTTAGTCTCTCTGAAACTTAGTTTTCTTATTTGCAAATAAGGAAATAAAAGGATAAGGAAATCTTAGTTAAAAAACCCCCAAACCCCACATTACCATTATGAACTAAATTATGTACTCCCTAAATTTATATGCTGAAATCCTAGCCTCCATATCTCAGAATGTGACTATATTTGGAAATAGGGCCTTTAAAGAGATAATTAAGGTAAACTGAGGTCAAATGTGTGGGTGATAATCCTAAATAACTGTTGTCCATATATGAAGAGGAGATTACGACACAGATGTGTAAGGAAAGCAAGGAGGAGGTTACCTGCACGCTATGAGAGAGGTCTCAGGAGAAATCAAACTTGCTGATACCTTGATCTTGGACTGCTAGCCTCCAGAATGTGAGAAAATAAATTTCTGTTGTTTTAGTCACACAGTCTATGACATTTTGTTATGGCAGCCGTAGCAAATGAAAAGAATTGGTATTTCAATATAACCAAAGCAGTGATTCACATAAGATGAAAGAACTAAATACCTAGAACCAGGTCTCCTAATCCAAGGCTGTTTGAAAAGAGTCAATAAATGCTATTTAGTAATCTAACGTGAAAAGAAAGATATATAGCTACTCTACTGGAAAAATGCTTAGGGCAAGGGAAAAGTATTCACACAAGTTTACAATGGGAAATCATTAGAAACAACTGAAATGTATGAAATTATGGGAACAGTTAAGAACAATAGCTGTCACTGTTTGTTATGCTAGGCTACTTACTTTTTATATATTTATCACTAATCCACAATCATCCAACAAGGAGACGTTATACCCACATTAAAGTTAAAAATAAATTAAAAACTCATAAATTAGAGAACTTTCCCCAAAGCCACTAAGCTGGTAAGTAACAGACATATATTTTGAAAGCAGATTAGTCTAATGGCAATCTTGCGCTCCTTTCAAAATACTATTCTGCAGAGAACCTTTTTAGGTCTCCTTAGGGACCTAGAATTTAAATTTACAACACTGTAGTTTCAGACTATAGTCTTATTTTTGAGTGAATATATTTCCTAGCTTACCTTATGGCTTCTGAATCAATGTGCACAGGTGCAATTCTTTCCAACAGAAATTTGACCATCTCTAGAAAAGGATTTGTTGGCTGCTTAGGATTTGCAAGTTTCCGAGCTATTTCTCTCTATAGGAAGGAAAGAGTTTTACCATTAAGTCTGATTCTCTTTCATGTTTTTCCAAATAAAGATGACTGTGAGCATCAAAAGCATTTAAAGATTCAAAACCATCAGATGTTAAAAAAAACACAAAAAAACAAAAAAACTTTTTTCTGCTTTACACCCTGGCTAAAATTATATACTGATCAGGGAATCACTACAAAACCTGGACTTGAGAGAAGAGAAAGGGGGGTGACATGGTATGACTTACGCCTTTTATCTCGTATTTCTCCCATGAAATTACTGCTTAGTAAACAATCTCTTTAACGCACTACTTTTGAAAAATTAAAAAACAACTTGTACTTTCATGGGTATGTTATATTGGTTTACTTCTTAATTTGAAAAAGAACTGTGTTTTATTTATGTCAACAATTTGTTTTTTTAAAGAGAAGAGAATTCATTCATAAATTTATAAAGTTTCTGAGTTCTAGAAGAACATAATTCAAAGATGGTGGGATTATATCAAAGAGCTCTTACAAAGAAAAGACATTACAGCTGGAAGTTTGCAAAGAATATAAGGACTTAATGATTACAGAGATGGATTCCACCAAAGACAAGATTAAATTTACAATGTGCTGGGCACTGGGAAAGAAATTTACTTTAATAACAAGGCTTTTAATTCACTATCTCTGATGAGTAAATGTAAATGTTAGCTGAGAAGATAATGCATATTAAAACGTCCTCCAAACTATAAAGCAGTAATAAATGACAGTCACTCTATTAATAAGTATTTTTTTCATAAAAAAAATCTAATGATATTTTTCCAGGGGGATAAAGGAAAAAAAATTTCTAGTTTCAGTGACGTCTTGACACAAATTAATTATAAGGGTCATACTAAATTAGATATGATCCATATTTGTTATTAGAGTGTAAATCCGACGGAATAGATTCTGAAAAAAACTTTTTAGTCATTAAGAGATGCCTGATTTATTTTGTAAGGTGCAATTAACTGGGCAAAACTTCAGCATTTGGGAAAATAATATTTTAATCAGTGCTCAGTCTTTACATAGTTTGCTCTAAGTCACACACACACACATATTTAAAATCTGAACTTAAAGACTATATTATCTTTTGAAATCAATTTTTCTTTTGTGCAGGTCTCCCAAAGAGGTGATTTCCCCCCGCTCGTATTGAATTTAATTGCTTTAACAAAGTCAGTGACTGTCTAACAACAAATACACCATTGGAAAATTGCTAGACAAACTATATATAAGTAATAACAAATGGAAAAGCATTAGGGAAGACAGTTATGATACTACCTAGTCCTATATATGGTACTATATAAGCATAGAAAAATAAAAAAGGAAATGCTAAAGGGAAAAAGAAAAATTCACATTTAAACACAGTAATAGCACTATATAAAATATACCACTGTATATAAACAATAATATTAGACAGTTTTAAAAACCTGGTGTTTCTGTAATCCCACATAACAATCTTACATTTAGGTAACCCTTCATAATCACATTTTATATATGTTATATTTAGATAATCTCTCATAACAACTATTTAATATGACATGTGTCATAATCTTAAGTGATACTGGGGATAAGCAGCAAGCCAAATTAGTTTGTGGCAGGTAATAGCAGCAAATAAACAGTTTCCTGTTTTCTTTACACATTCAAGAAAAAAAATAAGGATACTCACACATACTGTGTATCCCAGTGTTTGTCATGTATATGTAATACCATAGAATTACTATTTATTTACATCTTAAAGGGCAGTGCAGGGGGCCCTCTATTAGGCCATATATAAAATTTCATTTGATCTTATTCATTTAACAATCCTATGACACTGACAATATTTAGAGATGAAGAAAATGAGGCTCAAAAATAGTGAGCAACTTACTAAAGGTCACACTGATAGTAACTGTTACAGCTGAAATTCAAACCTAGGACTGCCTCAAATGCTGAATTAACAACCTTCAAGGAAAATCTTAAAATTTGGGAACAATTATCATAGGAAGGTTCTAGAGGATAAAATAACAAGCAGAGCTGAAGCTATGGTAAATAAGTGGTCCTTTTCTAGAACCAAGGTGTGGAAACTCAAAACTGGAAGTCTAAAGAAAAAGCAAATCTATATAGCACAGATCTCAATACCATTGCTCACCCTCTCACTATAGCATCATGCATAGTCATTTTACTCCACAGTATGTATCTATTCATATTTCTTGTTTAAAGTATTTTTGCTAAAAATGTTCAGGATTGGAACTGAGGCAAAGGGAGAAAACTATCAGAATCTCCATTCTTACTAAGTAATGTTCACCTCTTAAGAAGTAGGAAGCTACTGTCATTTAGAAAAGAGGTGATGGTAAATACACCTTAGTAGGAGACAGAGAAGGGACTCCCAAAGATGGAATAAAAGCCACAAAAAATGACAGAAACTAATTTTATGTTTATATATTTCTTCTCCTTCAGAATGAAACTATTAGGTAAAAAGGAATGTGGATATTAAAGCATACGTTAACTAATATCAAAAGCCCTTGCAGAAAAGGACAAAATGATACAGATGTTCTGAAAAAGAGCAAAAACTATTCTAACAGTGGTTGTTTTCCTGAGCATTTAAGGCTATTGTTAAGTCCTACTTTACACAAGAGAATACATAGATTAAAAAATGTGCTTAGAATACACAATGTTACGAGCTAAGAGAGAAATGACTGTGAAACTATTTACCATAGAAAATGAAGTTAAAAATGTGAAGAGTAGAAATTTTTTCTTCTAGAACAGAGTTCTATTAGCCATTTTGTGGCCCATTACTTAAACATCCTCAGAATAACCTCCCCTCCAAAAAGGTATCATTATCATGCTCTTTCCAGTGCAAGCACAGTCAGTCCTCATCTCTACTTTCCTGGTTCCTAAAATCAGGAGCACTGATTGGCTGCATTGCATGACTGCAGTATTCATCCTGAGGTGTTCTGGTTACAACATCTGTTTTGCATATACTTTTTGGATTTGGAAACTCTTAGATATTTCTGGTCTGGCAAACAGCAGGAATTCACATTACTGCCATTTTTCAAACTTAAGCCCAAGTCCTACTTTTTTCTCAGACCAAATAATACCACTTGATTGTTTGTTCTCAAGGTCCATATTTCTTGAGCAGTACTCTAGCAATACAGTATAGCTTGTGCTGGTTCTTGCAAACAATGATGGAATGTATAGAAAGAACACTATCGTGGGTCTATGAGATCTGGACTCTACCTGCAGCTCAGCCACTATAACTAGCTGTGAAACACTGAATGAGAAACTTCAGCTCCTTAAAATTCAATTTCCTTATCTGTAAAATAAAGCGGTTAAATCAATTATCTCTAGGGTATTTTCATGCTATTTCATTCTATGATCCAACTTATAATAATGCATGCCCTGTAGGACATAGTATTCTGAAACTGGAATTCTAAATGCCAAATATGTAAATAAAATCTTTAAACGTTCTCAGCAAACCACCCAGCTCAGAAATGCAGACTGAGGTAGTCTGAGTAGTTGGCACATCCATATCCCTAGGTCCAAAGGAAGAACCCACTGCTCCCTTCCCTAACATGTTTCCCCCCAACTTCATCCTAATTACTACTCTTTTTAGATCCACTTAGAGATCCTATATTCCTACCAGGCCTGAATCCCTACTAGACTGAAAAAACAAAAACAAAAAAACCTACTCCATGCTCCCAGAAGACTTGTATAGATATATTATAGTCTTTATCCCTTTCACATATTTAAATAATTATCCCACTCTAATTCTTTCCAGAACAAAGTTAGACAGAAATAACAAATGATTTTCTTTCTCTTATTCATCTCTGTAAGATTGGTCCAAGCATAGTGTTTGTCATATATGTGTAATAGCATAGAAATACAATTCACTTAAATCCTAAAGGGTAGTGCAGGGTCAAATATCTGTATCTATATATATCTCCTCTTAACAACCCTGCGAGGTTGTTAACACTTACAGGCAATAAACATGAGGCTCAAAGATACTGAAGAACTTACTAAAGGTTACACTGGTAGTAAATGATATGAATGAAATTAGAGAACTGTCTCATAAAATGCTGAATAAATGAATGAAGTTTTCCTTCCAGATGCTGTCAACGATTCTAGTTTTCTATACAATAAGTAGTTTACAAACATAATGAAGATAAAAGCCTAGATAGGAATTATCTATAAATGCACATATGGCAATGTAACTATTGCTGATTTACCAACAAGGGTTTTTTCTGTGCTAACGCATGGGAGAAGAAAATACACACACACACACACACAAGCCTTCAGAAAATTCTTATTTACCTAATGAGTGTCTACTAAATACACAGCATTTTATCTTGCTCAATTCCTAGGACCACCTAATGTTTTTCCTGGAATTTGGCTGATGAGTGGTAAGTGAAGAGAACTAAGTTGAGCACAGATCTACTTGTAGGTAATTCAGAGCTCATAATATTGTTAAACTCTTACAAATAAAATAATCTATGTATAGCAGGCTTTAATGAAATAAAAGTTTCTATAAGCAAAGCTAGGAGAACAAATGTGGAAGTATAATTTACTAACCACACAAACATCTGCCTGTTTGCATGAACAGGTCGGGCTGATTAACAACTCCAACTGAGACCGCAGTTTCTCATCATCCCCAAGAACCTGGTTAAATTTCTTCACAAAATCTTGTGCTTTCCCAGGGTCAGGCAAATTCTCTATAAAATTAAAAAAGAATCAATATTACAAAAGAAAGACTACTCTACTAAACTAAAAGCAAGCTGTCTTAAAAAATAATTTTAAGCCATCAAAAGATAATCAGCCTATCTGGTTCTTAGAAATAAAATTAATAAGGGAAGAATTATTTTTGTCTTACTTAGTATTAAATTGATAGTTTCACCGGGTAAATTATTTGATGTTTATTATATATCTATGGAGCCAACAAACATACTCACTTGCTATGGTCATCAGTTTTCCAAACATGGCGGAACAGTTAGCCTCTGACTGAAATTTAAAATAAAAATAAAAGAAGTCATATGTGCTAACAAATTTCTGTAAGAAAATTTATACACAGTATTGGATATTTTTTATTTTTAATTAATTAAATTGTTTTTGGTGGGGGAGGTAATTAGGTTTATTTATTTATTTATTCTTAGAGGAAGTACTGGGGATTGAACCCAGGACCTCATGCATGGTAATCATATGCTCTACCACTTGAGCTATACCTTTCCCACCTGGATATTAAAAAAAAAAAAAAAATCCATCACAATCTACCCACTAGAACAGTGCTTACCATATCTACACCCTATGTTGATAACGAAGTATGGAGTAGCAACAACTATTAAGTTAGCCCAAATGCAGGAAAGGAGATGTCAGAAGGAAGGTATTTAAAAATTTTAAAAAGAGTATACAACTTTCCCAGGAAAATAATCTTGCCAGAAGATAATGAAAATAATTATCATATCAAAATTACTGTGCAACCATACACCAAAGAAAATAAACAAAATGTGAAGAGTAGAAAAATTTTCTTTCTGAATAAAGTTCTATTAGCTACTTTGTGGCCCAAATGTTAAAATTATCACGTCCCTTCTTCCTTCTCTTTCCTCCATTGCAATGAAGTTTTATTTTATTATTTAATTTGTATGAAATTTCAGTAATTGGGATCTGCTGTTTTTGTTAGAAGTTTTGTTGGATCAGTCATGTCCATTTATCTGCGTACTATCTATGACTGCTTCTATACCACAAAGGCAGAGTCAAGTATTTCACCAGACAGTGTGTGGCTGGCAAAGCCTACATTTTTATTATCTGGTCGATTACAAAAAAGTTCGAAAACCCTTGTTTTAGCATCCATGGGCACTGAGGAGTCTCTATCTATGGTTCCCTGGCTAAGAACATCTATTCTAGCAAATATATTCAGAAATATACTAAGAGATTATTCAAGTTTCTTTCCCTCATGTTCCAGAATATATTGGGCAGAATTTGTTAATTTGATTTGGCATATTTATAGGATTGATACCAATCATAACACTGACTACAGTTAAGGATCAAAAATCACAGAGCAAAAATATGTTATGACTTCTAATGTAATTTTATCTTGAGGTTTAATTCTAATTTGAAAATTGATAAACTATGTACAAATTCCTAGTGTCTAAATGCTTGATAAACTAAAAAACACCATTTCCTTGTTCATGCTGGAAAGTAAGATTTTGTTATACTCACATGAAATGGAAATTTAGCTTTGGTAACTACAGAAATTATGTTTAACTGACATTCAGAAAACAAAACACTTGAGATACTTTTTGCCTACTTGATTATATATAACTTCAGAAAAACTAACAATGACTGTAACAAACCATAAATTTAAACAAATCATGAACCTACCGTAGGCTGCTTGTGTAAATCCAGTAGTTCTCGTACATGACTTCTAAGCATGTTCTGACACTTCCACATTTCATTGAGAGCTCTGGAAATAGTTATAAACATGAAAAGAAATAACAATACTGGTAACTATTCAACCTTACTACTTATTGCACAGAGTAGATACATCATTCTACATCTACATAAAATTTTGAGCACCAGAAAATTTATTTATTAGGATTAAGATAGTTTAGTTTGAAATAGTAAATATAAGGCTTCTTATGAGAGAAAATATTTGAGATGTTTAGAAGGATGAATAAGATCTTGTGAGGTAAATGAGGAATTGAAAGACATTCCAAGCAGAGGTAGCTGGAACGTTCTGGTATTAAAAAAAGATAAATGTCATAGAAGTGCATGGAACATACAGGAAAGTTAAAAATATTTTTTATAGACTAGGAGCACACTGTGAGTAGGAGAACATCAGGAAGCTGAAACATACTATAGAAAGGATCAGATCATCTAAGACCTTTTTATGCCAGGCTATGGGGGTATGCATGAAGGAACATGGACCACTTCAAAAAAACAAGTTTCACAGAAATGATGCAGATTCAAGATGCCAAATTTAAATTGAATTTGTTTATTCTAGACTCTTCTCTCCATGAAAGCAGATTTTCTTTTCTCACAAACTCTCTTCATAGTTTCAGGTGCCCAGAGGACTTCTGGGAAACAAGTTTATGTCTGAGTATTCTTTGCCAAATATTTTGAAATATAAATAGAGACCAAGACCTTAAGCCAAAGGTTTACTACCTATAGTGAACATTAGGATCCATTTACAAATCCTTTTTTTTTTTAAATGATGGCTAAAGCCTCCTAATATACTGCAACAAGGATATGTTACTCTATGAAACTTCTGCTGAAAATGCATAATCTCAATCTAATAATAAGGAAATACTGGATGAACCCAAAATGAGAGAACATTCTACAGATGCAATACTCTTCTGAAAAATGTCAAAGTCATAAAGACAAAGACTGATAATGGTTCTAAATTAAAAGAGACTAGAGACAATGACAAATATGCAATGTGTTACAAAAAGGAGAAAAAAAAATCCGTAAAGGACATTTGGACAATTGAGGAAATTTGAATACACACTGGATTAGACAATAATACTATTGTCAATATTGTATCTCCTGATTTTGATTAGGGTACTCTAGTGATATTAGAGAACATCCTTGTTCTTAGCAAATATAAACTGAAGTGTATTAGAGACAAAGGGATCCAATGGTTCAGAAGAAAATATATATACAGAAATAAAGTATGTGCAAATAGTAAATGATAAAGCAAGTGGTCAAAAACGATGAAACGTGTTAAAGGGGACAGCATAAAGCTTTGTGTTATTCCTGCAACTTTTCCATAAATTTGAATTTATATGAAAACTGTAGATTTATATATATATAATTGTGAACTTATAAATGTATATATATAAATCTACACACACACACACACACATACGTTATATATGTAATGGCTGAGATTCTTATTCAAAAGAATCAGAATTCTCAATGACAGGACTGACTTACTTTTTAAAAAGCTTTATTAAAGTGCAATGTTCACACATTCTATGTGGCCTGGGGTAAAGTTTATGTTGGTTGTCTGGACAAAATTATTAATACTGCCTCCTTTCACTCTAAAAAATATCTGTTTGGACATCAATCATATAGTTACTCTACCTTGAAGTGACCTGGATATGCACTCCTGACAAAGAACCAGGACTTAATTCTTAGGCTTAGTATGGGAGAGCTCCAATAGTGTAATGGAGATGGCAGTCAACAGGTGGCCAAAAGATAATTTTGACATAAGGACTTCACTGAATCCCTGAAACCACATTACCGGCTCAGTGGACAAATAACGTCTATGAACACAGGACTATTTTTGCCATTAACTTACCTGAATTTTTATCATAAAAATTTTCTCTATAAATATTTACCTGGGGTTCTTGATTCAACTAGAATAAGCAACAACCCTATCAATGACAATTAGTAAGATGAAATAATTTTATAAAATCTCCAAGAAATACTCTAAATCATTTAAAAAGTAACTTACTTGACAGCATTTGGATCCAAACTAGCATATAAATAATACAAGCATTTCATTCTCTCTTCTGTTTCCAGGTTGTGGGGGACAAGATACTGAGCAAAGATTTTCTCTACCAACAGTCTATGAAGCAAACAAAAAACCCCAAGTAATAAAATCATTCCATTTTTAGAAGTAATAGCCATTCTGTATTTTAACCACTTTATGCAAAGTTACCATACCAACAGTTACACCTGTGTGTGCAAACACAGTGGAAAAGATCAGTATGTGATCAAGGCCTTTCCTTGCAAGTATGGTTATTTTTCAGCTTAGAGCTACGACTGCTATTTCTGGCTACACTTTTTAATTTGTGAGTAGGAAACATTTGTTCTAAAAGGGTTATATGTTATTCCTAAACATGGGGTGACAGGCTGTTCCATCTGTTCTTCATCAGTCTGCAGCTAAACTGAATTGCTTAACACTACATATAAGGCTATGATCTCAAGAATAGCTAATTCTCAAAAAAACAAACAAACAAAAAAAACCACCCACCAAAAAACCCATTAATTTCCTCTAATTACACTGGCTCCTTTCCTATGTTGTCACTGAGTACAACAAAGGGGGAATCTCCCTTGAACTTCCTGAAATTTTAGCTTTTCCTATGCACATCTGATCTCCTTTCTACTTTCCAAATTCCTTACAATACTGGAATATCCTTCTTGCTAAGTTTATATTTATTTATTCAATATCACTGGAATAAGAAAATACAAAAGCTCTTCATTAGTCAGTGAAATACATATCCAATGATGCCAAAGTAGTCTAATTCAATAAAACACTGCAAAGTATTTTGCAAAAAACCAAAATCATTACTGTAATCCAATACAGAATTGTAAGCAACATTCATAAAATGAAAACAATGTAAGTTCTCATCTCAAGAAAAAAAAAGTATTTTGTAACTAAGTATGGGGACAGATGTTAAACAGTCTTACTGTGGCCATCATTTCACAATATATACAAATATAGGATCATTATGTCAATTAAAAAAAAAACAACACAGTAACACCTCTAACGGTTCTTACAGTGTTGTAAGAAGGAAAAATAACTAGTATTAAATAGTGCTGTATTGCTAGGCAGTGGGCTAAGGGTCTTTACGTTCATTATTTTCTTTAATCCACATAATTCTGTAAGGAAGGCTTTATTATTACTCATTTTTAGATAAAATCAAGTGCATAAAAAACTAAAACAGTTGTGCAAGAGCTAACATACAGTAAGGGGCAGAATGAACATTTGGTCTCTAGTCTCAGTACAAATCTCATGACTATTTCACTTTTATTACGCTAACTTACAATCCTGGGTACAGTTTTATTTAAACATGATATGTGTAAACATGCAGAAAGTGATTTCTAAACTTAGAAACAAATCATTATGAAAAAAATTAAATAGGACTTATATTTAAAAAATTAAAAGCACTTTTAAATTCATTTTACCAACATATTAGACTCACTTGTCATCGATGCTATTCTGATAATATATATGCAAAAGTTTGTCCTTTATCCAGCTGACTTTCTCTGCAGCTTCCTTTCCCGCTTCGCCATGAAGACAGTATTTCTTATAAAGTTGAGCCAGGCCCATCATAGCTTCTTTTCTTACTCGCCACTAGAAAGTATAAAGTTTTTTTGGATGAGCTAGATAGCAAACTTCAATATACTGCAAAATTTGCCACTTCTTTCACTAGGTTGCACAATCAAATTTCTTTATGTATAAATCGGCACAATGTTTATTTTTATAAGAGGCAGACAAATTGCTGTATCAATCATTTTGAGTATGTTCCTATTTAGAAAACAGACTATTTTCTGAAAGTATCCAATGCAAATACTGCTAAATCATCTATTAATTTTTTATTTCCTTCAAAGCCAAGCAACAGTAAATAAATCTTATAGAAGATTTCATTATATTCTGCCTAAAAAAATTTTGGTCAAGCTATAGAAGTGATTAAAAGATAAAAGAGAAAGTGTATAATTTACTTTGCAAACAAAAGCCCTATCATCTGGAATGTTTTATCCTAGTTATATCCCTTCTGATATTAACTCAGGACATGAAGAACAAAATTTAGTATCACAATCCTAGAATTACAAAGTTGGAAAGCACCTTAGTGATTATCTTAGGTGATTTTTCCTACTTTGCAGATTAAAAGGGCAAAAGATTTACCTAGTCACATCCTAGTCAGTTAAAGATTCTTTTGGACTTAAAGAGACTGGGATGATTTACTAAGAGGAAAGAAAGGTGTTGAAAGAGGGTAGACAGAAACGACGACTATAAAAATCTAGAGTTAAAACAAAGACAGTATGATGGAATAAAAACAATAACCAAAAAAAGATACTTGTCTCAATAACAAATCAATACTATCTTTGGTTTATTTAATACTTTCTTATAATTTTTTTTCTAAAATTTTCTCATTTGGGGGCTATTTAGTAGATGGTATAAAACTCTGTTCCTGTAACAGGTAACACAGATGCCTTTTGACATTTCTTACATGAAACTAAAGAATGTAAGCAGTGAAACCAAAGATTAAGTCCTGTTCCCACATTTTACAGAAAACAAGTTTTAGAAAGGCTATACTCAAGGTCATTTAATTCATTACACTAAATCCAGGTCCTAAAATGTCCAGTAGGTACTATCAGACCATATCATACAGTCTGTTATCAAGAATCAGTTACTCAACTCTTCCTAAAACTTTAAACACTGATAGAAGTAGGAGTGAAATGTTTCTAAAAGGAGGCAGTAATACAAATGGCAATACCTGAAATCTGGTGTGTATACGGGGAAGGGCAATTAACCTAACCAGTAGGGAGTGTCATTCCATTTAAATTTAAGCCAAGGGAAAAAACTCTTCAGAGATAGAATTACTGACATAGTTGAATAAGTTAAATGATGTACACTTTATCTATTTGCCTTCTGTGACTATTTTGAAAGAATTTAAAGAATACATCTTGCTGTATCTCATAACCAAGAGATACTGCATAAGTAACATGTTTAATCAGCCTGTCTTGCCTATCTGTCTGTTACTTATGGCTGAATTTGTAGTTGATACTATTCCTCAGCAACTGCTATAACTGCTAAGAACTGTTGTTCTTAGTACTACTTCTTTATCAACCCACGCTTTTAACTGCATTCATTTGGAGGAAATCACACAAAAAGTAATAACTAAACATAAACCATCATTTCAGACCTAAGTTTAGCACAGCAATATGGAAACATCGCTTTCATAGGAAATATGATATTCTTTTAGTTCAATGAATCCAGCTAAGTTATATAAGACAGTTACTTTTGAAAATGCTAACTATAAGAAATAAATGCAGGTGATCAATCATTATTCTTTTGAAACTCATCATGTAAGTGAAAAGATAAACTAAAACTTTAATTTAGCAGTCCTTTTTGTAAAAGTAAGCTAAAAGACAAACCCATACCTAAGATCTGAAAAGCCATAGAATCCAAATACATTCATTTGTAAAGATTATTAAAAGATATGCAGAAAACATACAAATTATTAGCTCTTTAACATTGTATTAACTTGACTTTCACACAGAAAAACGTTAAATACAATAGATTGTAATTTCTATTGTATTTTGCTAACAATGTAATTAAGCACAGTAAATTACAAAAGAATAAAATTACTCAGATTTTACCCGTTTGTCCAATGTTCTTTCCCTTACAAAGCCAAGTAGCTGATCATTTACTAAGGCAAGGTCTCTTTTGGCAGCTGTTATTATAGTAACAATGACATCATGACGAATAGCTTCTTCTGGATCATGTGATCTAACTTTCAAATATTCTATAATGAAAGAAAAAAATTAAGCTAAATGTTGGCTATAATATTTGTTATGTACAGAATGACCAAAGAAACCCAAAACAAACTAATGCTTTTAATCTTATGTCCATACTGAAACAACTGTGAAATGAGGCATAAATGAAGATTATTTTAAAGGTGGAAATACACTATCTAATCACAAAATAAACTAAATAAACTATATCACACTGTTTGTTTATTGCTTTAAAGTCACATCTTTTTTTTTCATTTGTCTCAAAGTTATTTTTTTCTAATTGAGTTATAATTAGTTTACAATTTCTGGTGTACAGCACAATTTTTCAGTCATACATGAATATACATATATTCACTTTCATATTCTTTTTCACCATGAGCTACTACAAGATCTTATATATATTTCCCTGTGCTATACAGTATAAACTTGTTTATCTACTCTATATATACCTGTCAGTATCTACAAATCTCAAATTCCCAGTCTGGCCCTTCCAAACCCCCTTCCCCCAACATCTTAATAAATATTTTATATCAACTATTCTGGAAAAACCAAATCACAACAAAGTTACTGATTAAGTTTAGAATTTACGTTAACAATACAAACTAAAAGATTTAAAAGAAAAATAGTAAAAATGCCTTTAGCAAATTTGCTAATAAGTATGTATCTGTATATGGCACAAAATAGTAACATTCTATGACCTCTAAAGAAAATCCCTAAATAATTACAACAAAATAAAAAAAAAGTTATTTCCTCTTTTTTGGTAAAGAGCATTTTGATACTGACTGTTTGTTACTACCAAATAAGTAGGTTCAAATGCTCTGTGTTCACATGAAGAACAAGAAATTCCAGTCTAGTTCAGAAGACAATCACTTTCCTATTTACTATTAGGTTTGTTACTATATTGAATTATTACACAGATATAATGATTTGTGCCAAAATCCAATGTCATAAGAAGAGCCTACTTCCTCAAATTATGATTTCCAAAAAACTCCAAAGGATTAAAATATGAAAATTTCAAATGTAATTTTATAGTATAAACATGAAATCATTTACTAGTCTATGACAGATATAGACTTGAAATAGTGCCAGAGTTAAATCTATTCAGAAACGGAAGTCAAAGGTCACATCTGAAATATATTTGTGAGTACTCTTATTTGTAATGAACCAGGTCACTTACCTGTGAGGTCTTTTGCTAAATCTGGGTGATTCATTAAACAGTGACTGGCAAATTTCACACTTTCTAATCTGACAGGAACATGAATGTCATTAAACCTACACAGAAAAAAATTGCTAAATATTAGTTTTAAGACAAAAAAATTATTTTCAAAAAAGATATATCTAATACTATGTAAATGCCTATAAACAGTTACTGATTAGAAAATGTGTTATTACGACAGTTAATATGTTCTGAAGGAAGGAAGAATATAAAGTAATAAAGATACATAATTTCACAAAAATATTTTAAAATTTTCACCATACAAAAACAAAAAACAGTAAAAACACATCCCCCAGTCCAAACTACCTACTTTGCACAGACAAAAACTGAAGAGCTTAAAATTATGCTACAAAACAAACAAAAAATAAATACTCAAAATACAAAATCTTCTTGAAAAGGAAGTTTATAGGAGAAAAATACTAGGGGAATGTGAGGTAGAAAGCAAATCATATATAGAGGCAGATCTAGAAATTCAAAGATGAGGTCATACATAAAATACATGTGCCATATTGCCTTACAGCTTCCATATGGATGGGACCAACTTGTAACTGCACTTTTAAAGGTCTAGTATATTATAAGAATTCAATAAATATGAAACTCAGTATGTAGATTCAAAACCTGAGCAACTCTCAAATTTTGTTTATTACTGGCTAACTTAAAAACATTTATTAACTATAAATAACATGATTTTACTTATTTATTTTTTACCTTTTAATCTCCCTCACCTATTTCTTTCTTCCCCCTACCCTACTCCCCTCTGGCAACCATCTGTTTGTTCTATCTATAACTCTGCTTCTGTATATTTGTTTATTTGTTTGTTTTTAAGATTCCACATATAGGCAAAATTATACAGTATTTGTCCTTCTCTGTCTGACTTAATGCAGTGAGCATAGTCACCCTTTAGGTCCAACCATGTTGTTGCAAATGGCAAGATTTCATTCTTTATCTTTTATGAATGAGTAATATTCCATTGTATACATATATACCTCATCGACTTTATCCATTTATCTATTGATGGCTACCTGGGTTGCTTCCATAGCTTGGCTACTGTAAATAATGCCACAACGAACATAGGATGCATATCTTTTCTGATTTATGTTTTTGTTTTCTTCAGATAAATAACCAGGAATGGAATTGCTGGATCATGTAACAGTTCAATTTTTAATTTTCTGAGGAACATCCACACTGTTTTCAATAGTGGCTGTACCAATTTACAACCCCACCAACAGTACATGAGGGTTCCCTTTTCTCCACATCCTCACCAACACTTGCTATTTTTCAATTGAAATATCATCAGTTTACAATGTTGTGTCAATTTCTGGTGTACAGCATAATGTTTCAATCATACTTACACATACATATATTTGTTTTCATATTTCTTCATTATAGGTTACTACAAGATATTGAATATAGTTCCCTGTGCTATACAGAAAACACTTGTTATATGTTTACTTTATATAGAGTAGTATTTGCAAACCTTGAACTCCCAGTTTATCACTTCCCACTCACTTTCCCTTCTGGTAACCATAAATTTGTTTTTGATGTCTGTGACTCTGTTTCTGTCTTATAAATGTCTTTTTTTTTTTTTTAAGATTCCACATATGAGTGATATCATACAGTATTTTTTCTTTTCCTTTCTAGCTTACTTCAATTAGAATGATGAGCTCCAGGTCATTCACATTGCTGCAAATGGCAGTATTTTATTATTTTTTATGGCCGAGTAGTATTCTCCTATATATGCCAAAACTTTATCCAGTCATCTGTCAATGGACATTTAGGTTGTTTCCATGTCTTGGCTATTGTAAATAGTGCTGCTATGAACACTGGGGTGCATGTATCTTTTCAAATTACAGTTTTCTCTGTTCTCTGTATATATGCCCAGGAGTGGGAATGCTGGATTATATGATAAGTCTATTTTTAGTTTTTTGAGGGATCCCCATACTGTTTTCCATAATGGCTACACCAAATGTCTTTTTGATAATAGCCATTCTGACAGGTATGACATGATTTCGCTGGCATTCTGATTTGTATCTCCCGGGTGATTAGTGATGTTGACCATTTTTTCCTGTCTTTTGGCATCTGTATGTCTTCTTTGGAAAAGTATGTACTCAGATCCTCTGCCCAATTTTTAATTAGGTTGTTTGCTTTTTGATGTTAAGTTGTATGAGTTCTTTGTACATTAACCCCCTTATCACATATATCATTTGAAAATATCTTCTCCCATTCAGCAGGTGGCCTTCATTTTATTAATTTCCTTCACTGTGCAAAACTTTTTTAGTTTGATGTAGTCCCAGCTGTTTATTTTTGCTTTTGTTTTCCTTGCCTGAGGAGACATATCAAAAAAAACAACAACAACAAAAACAACAACAAAACAAAAAAAAACCCTACTAAAACCAATGTTAAAGTGTACTGTTTTTTTCTAAAAGTTTTATGGTTTCAGGTCTTAAAAGTCTTTAATTCATTTTGTATTTATTTTTGTGCATAGTGTGAGAGTAGTCTAGTGTGATTCTTTTCAGTGTAGCTGTCCTGTTTTTCCAACACCATTCACTGGAGACTGTCTTTTCCCCATTGCGTATTCCTGCCTCCTTTGTTGCAGATTAACTGTCCATATAAGTGCGGGTTCATCTCTATGGTCTTTATTCTATTCCATTGATCTATGTGGCTATTTTTCTGCCAGTATCATCCTGTTTTGATGACCATATCTTTGTAGCATAGCGTGAAAGCTGGGAGTTTTGTTCTCTCTCAAGATTGTTTTGACTATCTGAGGGTCCTTTGTGTTTCCATACAAATTTTAGAATTATTTGTTCTAGCTCTGTGAAAAACACCGTTTGTATTTTTCACAAGGACTGCACTGAATCTGTAGATTGCCTTGGGTACTATGGTCATTTTAACAATATTAATTCTTTCAATCCATGAACACAGCATTATCCTTCCACCTGTTTGTATATCTTCAACTTGATTCACCAGTGTCTTACAGTTTTTTGAGTACAGGTCTTTTACCTCCTCGGGTAAATATATTCCCAGGTATTTTATTCTTTTTGATGTGATTCAAAATGGGATTGTTTTCTTAATTTTTCTTTCTGTTATTTCATTGTTAGTATACAGAAATGCAACTTGATTTCTGTTTATTAATTTTGTATCCTACAACTTTACTGATTCATTGATGAGCTCTAGTAGTTTTCTGGTAGCCTCTTTAGGATTTTCTATGTATGGTATCATATCATCCATAGTTTTATTTCTTTTCCAATTTGGATTCCTTTTATTTCTTTCTCCTCTCTGACTGCTGTGGGTAGGACTTCCAAAACTATGCTGAATAAAAAGGGCAAGAGTGGGCATCCCTGTCTTGTTCCTGATCTTAGAGGAAATGCTTTCAGCTTTTCACCATTAAGTATGTTAGCTGTGGGCTTATTATAAATGGTATTTATTATGTTGAGGTATGGTCCCTCTGTACCCACTTTGTGGAGAGGTTTATTTTTAATCATAAATGAATGTTGAATTTTGTCAAAAGGTTTTTCTGTATCTATTGAGATGATCATATGATTTTTATTCTTCAGTTTGTTAATGTGATTTGTGGATACTGAACCATCCCTGCATCCCTAGGATAAATCCTACCTTGATCATGGTGTATGATCCTTTTTAATGTACTGGTGAATTTGGTTTGCTAGTATTTTGTTGAGGATTTTTGCATTTATGTTCATCAGTGATATTGGCCTTTAATTTTTCTTTTTGGTGGTATCTTTGGCTGGTTTTGGTATCAGAGTGACGATGGCCTTTCAGAATTAGTTTGGAAGCACTCCTTCCTCTGCAATTTTTTGGAACAGTTTGAGAAGGACAGGTATTAACTCTTCTCTAAATGTTTGGCAGAATTCACCCGTGAAGCCATCTGGTCCTGGACTCTTGTTTTTTGGGAGTTGTTTTATTACTGATTCAATTTCAGCACTGGTAATTGGTCTATTCATATTTCCTATTTGTTCCTGGTTCACTCTTGGGAGACTGTACATTTCTAGGGATTTGTCCATTACTTCTAGTTGTCCACTAAATTGGTATATAAATGAACATTTATAATGTGATTTTAAATAGCAAAAAATATTTCTATTTTTGAAGTGATCTCATAAAATAATCAATTAAACTAATGTTATTTAATAAATGTATTCATCTATATGGAAGTCTACTTTCTTATCCAGAGATAACTGTCAAATTTTAATAAAATTTCATTTATAATTTTCTAACTGCCAGAAAAAAATGAGAACATTACTATTCATGATCAAGTAAATTGCAAAGTATCAAAATACTTATTGCTAAATAATTAAGGAAAATAATACAGTATAACAGATACACTGGTAATATTTCCTTGTTTCTATGAATGAGAGACCCAGTATTAGGATAGCAGTGAATATAAAATTATGAATGTACGAAACGTCTTATGATTGATTTTGTTGTTATAAATAACCTAGATGAAAAATGAACTCTTGCATTTTGGCTTAAATGTTTTTCTATAAACATTGATGTCAATCACTAGGGCAGAATCATTTGTCTATAACTGACAAATACAGTTGTTTCATTCCTTCTATTCTAAATTCTTATAAATTCAAGTTTAATTATTCAAATAATCAGTATATATACCTATTAACATCTTCAAAATAGCCTGTTTTGAGCAAGTAACTTAAAACAGCATAATGTCAATGTCAAGGATTTCTCAGATTTGTTATATTTTAATATTTAACCCAGGTTATTGTAAGAATTATTATAGAGGGGAGGGTATAGCTCAGTGGTAGAGTGCTTGCTTAGCATCCACAAGGTCCTGGGTTCAATCCCCAGTACCTCCTCTAAAAATAAATAAATAAGTAACCTAATTACCTTCCCCCACAAAAAATAAAAAATAAAATTAAAAATTAAAAAAAAGAATTATTATAGTGAATTTTCCTTAAGAAAAATTTTGAGCCTACCTTCTGAATGAGTTCAATTATACAATGATGAATCTGAAATGTCCAGAATACTAATAGTAAAAACTGACTTTTCAATGAATGTCTGAAGTAAAGAAACACGTTAATGGAATTCAAGGGGGTAATTTAGTAAGTTTCATAGATTTTTTTCAACCTTACCATCAAGTTGAATAGAACATAGTAATTCTAAGTGCTTGAGAAGGAACATTAAAAATGTTGATTGAGAACAACCATATTTTGGATGTGAGGGTGATCTGGCTGTGACATCTATCATCCTTATTGATCTCCAGAGTCGATTCAGCTGACCTAGCTGGCTAGGCGGGTGTCCCCTTCCTCCCTCACCACTCCATGTGCGTCCCTCCCAAAGCTGTGCGCTTGGTCAAAAAGAACAACCATCCCCAGTAGAGGAGGACCGTTCTTCTCAGTCAAGGGTATATGAGGAGCTGCACTCCCCTGCTAGAACCTCCAAACAAGCTCTCAAGAACAATATTTTCCATTTCAAAATCATACAATAATATCAAGTTAGTTCCAAACACACATCATGCTATTAGATAAGCTAAACATCTAAAGGATAAGCACTACTAAACGAATAAATTGCTGGACTGAATTATGGCATGGACTGGACCATGATGTCTTCAGTCTCATGATTTAAAAATCTTAAGACTGAAAATTCTCAAATGTTGCCTATCTCTTTATTCTAATGACATTATTTTAGCACACGCAAAAAAAGATTAAAATGTGTTATGTGGGTAAATAATAATAATCTTTCTTCACAGAAACTGTCCTACAATTTATTCTTCAAGAAACACAGCAACACGGATACAAAAGAAACAAACATATCAATTAAAGTTTTGATATGTACAGTTTTAATCAAGTGTGCCATACTGACTGGCCTCCAGCATTAAATGTTAGAATCCACATAATTGTATATTCTCTTACCGTCCAAGAAAACATTGCCACAGAGGACGATTCTGTGTTGCCAAATCAGAATCTTTAGAACCAAACAATTTAGCTAGGAGTCGAACAACAGCTAATCGCTCTTCTCCATCATTACTCTAAGGGAAAAGACAAAATAAATAAAGCCTGAGGTTTATTCACCAGATTACAGAAAATAACAAAACATTTCTGGAGAAGCTACAATTTCACATTTCTTATAATGACATTAACTTTAAAATACTATGTGCTCTCATTTAACATGCTTTAAGTTGATTTGATTCCATGTTAGATCATCTGGTTCTTTGCTCTTATTTCACACCCTCCCAACTGTTAATTTATGTCTACTTCATTGTTTGTTTGCAACCTATACAGACATTTTAGAAATATGAAGATCATCAATCAATGCTAACACTCCCTAAGAGTCCTGGAAAAAATTCTGTGAAAGGAAGAGCTGCAAATAATTCCTGCCCTAATAAAGAAAGCTTTCTACAATAAGAACTCTAACATAAACCTGTATCAATTAAGGTTTTGATATATGAGGTTTTAATCAAGGATCCCCTAGTGACTGGAGAACATGAGACTGAAGGAAGTCATGAATTTGCAAAACTCATTTTAATAGAAGAGCATGGGGGGGGAGGGTATAGCTCAAGTGGTAGAGCACATGCTTAGCGTGCACAGGGCCTGGGTTCAATTTCCACTACCTCCTCTAAAACATAAATAAACAAATAAGCCTAATTACCACCCCCCAAATAAGCAAAAATAAATTTAAAAAGAGCATGAATCTCAGGAGGATCTAAAAAGTCAGGTGTACTAAACACTACAAAAGAGTAAAACCTTAATTTTTTTTGACAGAGGCCTCCTATTTTCTTATCCTGAATCAATACATGCTTGTGATATCATGTCTTAATATAAATCAAGTTATTCTAAAACCATATGGTGCATGAAGCTTTTTAAAAATCACATATTCACCAGGAAAATAAAGGCAATAACTAAAAGCAATCGCTAAGTTTTTAACGTGTTCAAACACAATGTGTGTCTTAAGCAATACCAGAGCTGAATAAACAAATTATCATGGGGAAAGATAAATAAAAAAAGAAAAATAAATACTATGGGATAGAATCTTTTCTTTAAGACTGTCTTAACTCTCAGGGATAGGGTAGGGGCTTTGTGGGTAAAATATGTATACTTGTTAAACAGTAGTAAAAATGAAAATTCTATTAAGTTTTAACACTTAAAACTACAAAAATGATTTTCTTTGACAAAGTTTTTCTCAAGTAACGTGACTACAATGCTGATTAGTGCTTTTTGGTAAGTCCAACTGACTAGCCAAATGATTTATTTTTTAAAAGAAAAATCAATCTATCACTTAAATGTCAAACACTAAAAAAAAGTGAAAATTTTACTTTACTTGAAAGTGACTACTTTAGTAGCTTAGTGATCATTTCAAATGATGTAACATTTCATATCTATATAATCTAACTACTGAAATAGAACTAAATGAAAACTTAACCCTCTGCTTTTTAAATGTATTCCTTGAGTGAGGCTGGAATATTATTATAGTGATGGTAAATTTTTCTGATGCAAAAAATCATTCGGTGTCTCTGATGTACAGCTGAATTATTAATCTATCCTAAGGTGAAAATTATCTCGTTAAGATATTACCTACCACAATGTTTGAATAGAAATATATATATATTTATCTTAATAATTAAAAGAATTAGAAATTCTGCATTAATAATTTACCAGTGACTGTCTAACATAAATTCAAAGGCCGCCTAGTTTTTAGTTTCCTTCAACACTAACTGGAAAACATAACCAACTATGATATTGCTTCTAGTTATAAAGTAATTGACTCAGAACAATTCTCTGCAAAAATTGCAACCAATATAAGACAATTATGACTTTTTTAATGTTTCAACTTGGGCAATAAATGTAAATGTTTGTCTCTTTGTCCCTGCTTACCAAAAAAAAAGTCTTAAATGTAAAATCTGGCAAACTTCCTGATAACCACAGCCAAGGCTGCCAAGTAGCACAAATCTTAGCACAAATCCAGACCCCTTAAACATATGAGAATAACACTCTGAACCTATGCAGTAGATAGTGAATACAACTGCATGCAGTGGCCCACTGTAAAGTAAAATCAAATTGTTATTTTGAAGCATTTTCTCAAACATTTTTATTGTCCTCAGAAGACTGTAACCGAAGATTCCTAAATATGAAGGTTGTAGCTATGCAATTCGGAGATATAACTACAGAAAATTGTCACATCCATAAAAACTTCCTAGGCTATCTGCTTAGCACATATTGGTGACTCAAAAGCGGGCACCCAAGTAATATATAGATAATATCTAAACTATTCTGAATCTTTCGTCGCTTGTGATGAGAAAAGTAATACTGGTACTGGCTAGGGTTGCAAATAACACAGGTGATGGCACTTGCTGTTAAGATGTAAATATTCTATTATTTAGACGCAGTACTTAGTATAAAGTTAAAAAAAGGCATGAATTTTTCTAAGAACATAGAAAAACATAAAAATCAATGGCCATGGGTTATATACATTGTACTAAAAGAGATTACATAGTTAGAAAGAACATTAACTGACTATGGTGTTAATTGTTTTTAAAAAGGAATTAAGAAATCCATGAAAAAAATCTTATTCATGTACCTTTAAAGTACACCTATGAAATCAAATCTTGTCAATGAAGAAGAGAAGGTGCAAGATATAGGAGTAATTGAAGACTACGGTAAACTAAAAACCTCATAATCCATTTAAGAAGCTGCTAATAAACACTCAGCTCCTGTCATGTAGAAATAAGGGCCTAATGGTGACAAATTATTTGATTTTTAAAAAAGAAAATACACATGTCTGGCCTTTTAAACAAAGTCTGATTTTAAAATTTATTCATTCAACGTTAGCAACTTTTTAAAAATTGAAAATTCTTTATATGAGATTTTAAAATAAAATTCATCATATAAAACTTATTTGGGGACTGGATTCAGCTCTTAGCAACCTCTGCTGTAGGTAAATGAACCTATAGAAGAATGGGGTATGAACAAACAATGTGGCTTAATTTCCTTCTATTTACATTAAGTCCACATATGGAAACCCAAAAGTCCAGTTGCTAATTCTTTCCAACCATCTATGATGGAAGTCTTTTTTAGGATTAAAGAAGTTTGACTTTCATATTCAAACTCTATGAATAGACTTGGGAGAAAATATCTTAATGCCTTATATCTAGAAATAATTGGTATGGAAATACCTTTAAACTGTTGTTGAAATAAACTCAACATTAAAAAACAAAACAAACAAAACTTCATTCTCTATGTAACATTTTCCATACAACAGAGTTTCTTAGAAGTCCACTAAAATGTCCTTTATACTATAACCAACAAATGCCTGACATGAAGACAAGAGGAACAATTTTTAATTGTCTATACCTGTTGTAAGAGTCTGAAAATCAGAGTTCTAATCTCAAATCCATTTTAACTGTGTAACTGGGCAAAATAGTTCATCCTAAATTTTTTATCTCAAAAATTATAACATAGTCTGATTTAAGGATATTAAAAAAAAATCTTTCAAAAAGTCCTAAATATTAAGCAAATGTGTTATTTTCTGTGGTTCAACTGGGATAGAGGATCAAGTGTCAAGTTTTTCATATTTTTTGAGGAGTTATGAATTCCTTGTTTAGTTTGTTGTTTAAAAAAAAAGTACACTCCTAGTCATAAAAGTAAAGTCTGTCTTTGATCTATAGTATGAAAGGGTCATATAGTTGTAAGACCCTTTGAGCACTCAGTTTGAAATCTTTTGATGTTCTAAAACATTTATAGTAATAAATACTATTTAATAATAACATGTATTATAAGTTTCTGGGATAATATCATCTTTCTAATTTATTATTTGTCACTGTGTTTATCAGATATTTAACAATAAGGTAAGTTACAATTTTGCAATGTAAATTCTCCTATCACTGAGATGAGAGACACCGTTTTATTTACATGATTCAAAAATGTACACCATAACTAGACATAAGCAGATAAAAATTGAACTCAGATTTTATCCTTTTATGTTAGAGAAAAACAATGTGATAAATATTTTTCTCTTAAATGTTAAAGAGCTTAAAAATTACAGTCAGTCTTACCTTCAGTTTGAATTCAAGCTGCGGCATGACAGATAATAATAAATGAGGGTCTATAGCAAAAAGTTCCTGAATCAGATCAAATACATGTTCTGACAAATCACTTACTGACGATCTTCCCAGCACCAGGACTTGATTGAAAAACTACAGCAGAAAAAACAACAATAAAATATCCATTTCATTTAAAAACATGGACAGGTTTTTTAATAAACATGTGAAAAGAAAACTATATAACTGGGTATAACATACGCAAGTGAAGGGGATGAAACAGAACATGTTTTGATTAATGATACTAATTGAGTGATATTTGATTACTAATGATAGGATAGTCACCAAATTAGAAGAAATAAACTTCTAAATATGATCAAGTTATAAATTTAACAAGAAAAAGACAAAGTAATTGAGTTGTTAACTTTCTTTGAAATTAGGATGAAAGTTCTAGGAATCTTAACGCTCATTAGACAATTATGTAATTCCATTATAGAGAATTTTATAGAGACATATCCTTATAACAGAGAAAAATATAAAGTCTCAATCTTCTGGGTTTTTTTTTTAAATTTAAGTCTGGCTAATCTCTCCATTAGTTTAGTAATAAATAGTACTTAAATGTGGGTCATGAGTTTTTTTTGAATATCCAGAAAATCAAAAACATTTTGACTCAGAGGACAATGAGAAGGAAAATGTGATGTACAAAGGTTGATAATTTAAAAGAATTCTAGGAAGAAACAAAGAAAATATAATACCAAGAGCATAAATTAAAAGACACCTCCAGTCCTGCCAACACATATAAACTTAGAAAAAATATTAAATGTAAAAATGCTAAAGAGGCAGTTGCATGCAACTGATATGAGCATATATTTTTGGTAGTGTCATCAAATGATATATTTATTTTGAAAGGCAACATACATTAAAAGAGTTAGAAAATATTCATATTTACTATGCAGACCTTGAAAAGAATAAGGAAAATAGTTTTAAAATTAAAATATATATATACACACAAATAAGCACAGAACACTAATTCTGGAAGAATATGTGAAAATCTATTGGTGAAGGCTATTTCTGAGAATTAAGAATAAGGTATTCGGGGTTGAAGAGAGACAATTTTCACTGTATATTCTTTTGTACCATTTAAGAAAACATTTTAAAACTATGTTTAAGGATTAATTTAGTTATGTAAATAACACTAATAATTCATACCATTTAAATTAATATATTCTCCCTTGGGCTTTTATATGTAGAAAATAATTCAAAAATAGATAAATGCTACATTCACAAAGATAACTACTAAAGGAAAACGCTGAAAAAAATCTAAATGCAAGGCAACAGGGAAATGATTAGGTAAATTATATGTCAATTCAAAGGAATATTTACAGTCATTCATATCATAAATAAAAAGATAATGTCAAAATAAGGAAATATGTATGTAAATAAAGATAATTCAAAATTTTATATAGAGTATGCAAAAAGAAAAAGTACGAGCGTGAGCAAATGTTCAACAATGGAACTGCTACATTAAAGCAACAGAATTATAAATTTTTTTGCTCCTAATTATTGATTTTTTTAGTTAAAAAAAGAGAAAGAAAAAAGAATAAACTTCTATTTAATAAATTTAAAAAAAGTTTTATTATTGTATAACAACTATTTAAGAGGGAGAAACAAAAAGGTTCAGAAGAATGACCTAGAGACTTGAAGAGGAAAGTATATAGACAAACAGACGGCCACAGATATAGATAAAGGGAGAAAGTGAAAGAGATCATCCTACCCAGCAGATAAAAAGATAAAGATAAATACAAAGGCAGTAGTGGGAGTTGTAGATGAGTTTTCATAAAAATAACCTCCTCCATCTTGTGCCATTTAAAAATAATGTCAATATAAGTTTATAAAGTTATGCTGCACTTGGTCACATTTCTTTTGTATATTTCTTCTAAACAGATCAAACTGTTTATAGGCTAAATAAGCCTTCATGTGAATGGTTCTATAAAATTAGTACAATGGACTAAGAACTATAGGTTTATGAGGTAAATATAGGCAGAAATACATACATTGGCAATGCATGCCTCAATAGTCTGAACTGTCCTTTTCAATAGGACTTTGGCGAGGTCGAAGGACTGTTTATTTAAGTTCTGAAACAATAAAAAATATGCACAGTTACAAATGAATTAGTGAATTTATGAGACAGCATCATTAGGATAGAATACCAAATTCTTCAAATCCACAGAATATGAAGCAAAAAACCCCACAAAAAAACCAAAAAAGCCCCACCAAAATGAAAAAAACACCCTGAACCTCATTTTTCACCCAATATCCTCTAGTCAACTGGTCCTAAATGCAGAAGTTGCAAACCACACAACCATAAATCAAAAACTAAAATACATTAGATAACTAGCCAAAAGCCCAACCCTATATTAAGTTTACTTATACTAAACTCAAAATGGCCCTAAAACTTTTTGCTTTTGTTTAACCAACTTGAACTGGCAATTACACCCATGTATCCTAAACAAATACACAAACACACCCCTTTCTAATCTACTATCCTCATATTTCACTGTCTAATCAACGTGTGTTCTGAGGAAGAACAGACATGTAACGTGTTTCAAGAATTTTTTAATTATATTTTTGAAACTCAAAAATTCTCAATCAGTTATATTTATATTCATGAATACTATGTTTGTTTCTCAAGATCCCCAATCATGGTAAAAAAATTAAAAGGATTAAGGAAGGTTGTAGAAAAGATATATATTTAATTAAAAAAACTTACTGAAAATGTAATTCTTGTTTTGAAGAGTACCTATTAATACCTCTGCACTTATTCCCCAAAAAGTCAAGAATATTGTATACTCTAGGTTAGTAGTCAGCAAATTTTTTATGCAAACAGCCAGACAGTAAATATTTTAGGCTCTGTTAGCCATATGGTTACTGCTGCAACTCCATAACTGCTATTGTAGTGGGAAAGCAGCCATAGACAAAATGAAAATGGCTGTGTTCAAATAAGACTTTATTTACAAAAACAGACAGTGGGCTAGACTTGGTCTACAAGCCACATCTTTCTGACACTTGCCCCAAGTTTTTATTCTATTGGTAAGAGGATAAAATTAGCTCAAAATTAAGGTAAACTTGGAGGAAAGAAGTAAGTGAGGGAGATTAAGAGATACAAACTTCCACTTATGAAATAAATGAGTCACAGATATGAAATGCACAGAATGGAGAATATAGTCAGTAACTATGTAATATCTATGTATGCTGACATACTATAAGTAAAGTAACTTGGGCGATCATTTTGAAATGTATATAAATATTGTGTAATAGGAACTAATTTAATGTTATGTAGGTCAATTATACTTCAAAAACAAACACAGAAAAAGAGATCAGATTTGTAGTATCAGAGATCAGAGGTGGAGGGGGATGAGGGCATTGAATGAAGACAGTCAAAAGGTACTTCTAATCATAAGATAAGTAAGTACTAGGGATGAAATGTATAACATGATAAATATAATTAACACTGCTGTGTATTATACATGAAATTTGTTGAGAGTAAATCCTAAGATTTATCTCATCACAAGAAAAAAATTTTTTCTATTTCTTTAATTTTGTATCTATGAGATGAAGACTGTTCATTAAATGATATGAAATGATAAATCATTTCATAATGTATGTAAATCAAATCATTATGCTGTATACCTTAAATTTATACAGTGCTATTTGTTAATCATATATCAATACTGGAAGAAAAAAATTAAGGCAACCTTTCTACTTCCTAAAAAAGAGTATTTCCTACTAACTAGAATACAAACACCAAATACACTATTAATTCCTCATAAAAGTTTTTCTCTCTTATACTGCCTGACATATACTCCCCCTTTGCCATACTCTCAACATTTTGACCAATTATAAACTTGAATTAATGTTAACAATATACAGAGAGTCAGAAGAATTCATAAGTGATTAAATCTTATCATGAATAAGTATAATTGGATACATGTCCATTGAACATCTAATAGGTCACTGAACAGTTAAGAGGAAAGGAGCAGGAGGATAAAGATCAACAGTCGGATAGGCCTGAGTCCACGCCAGGGGTAGGGAGCTAAGTCCTTCAGTTCTTAGGAGAAACTAGCAGAGAGAAACAGAAAAAGGAAATGGAGAGGAATATACAGCTCTGAATCTCCCTTTCCCTCTTAATACTAACCATTTAGTTTTGCCCAAATCTTATTCTGAAAATGTCTAAGAAAAATGTAGAACAAGGGTTCTGAGAAGAAATACGAATTCCTACCCTTCCCATCCACGTTACAAAGGAGGAAACACATTTTCTTTTCAAAAAAATAAAAACAAAAACAAAACCCTAACCAAGACAGTACCCCAACCCCTTGTAATTTCTAGATTAGATAGGAGTGGTCAATTTGAAACATTTTTAGTTTTCCAAAAAACAGGCATCGCGTAACTGAATGAAAATTTTTCTACAATATGTTAATCAACATATCTTCTAAAAACAACAGTAGCTATAAGACTGATGTGTGTTACTCTATCTGCTGGAGAATAATAGTGGGAATACAAATTACCTGGGATTGCAAATAGTAAAAAAACAATTATTTTTCATATGTGTAGCACTACTATAAAATATTAACCTTTAATATCACCATATTATACAGACCTTATGTGCAGGAATGAGGTTAATAAGAATGGAGTCCAGTAATTCTTGAGTAACTCCATCACCTTCCATGATGATAGAACTCATCAAGTCTAGCATGTGCATTTGTACCTTCTTATTGTGGCTATTGCTTGAAAAAAAAGACGACAAGAAGAAAAAAAAATTTAGGCTTACCAAAGAAAAACTTCCTAGTTTAAAACAACTATCCCAAATGTAAAAGGATATTCAATTAAGATATATTATATAGAGAGGAAGAAAGACTAAAAATGACAAAAACTTCTCATAGAAACAATGCAAGCCAGAAAAAGATGGAGGAACATCTTTAAAAAGTACTGACAGAGAAAAAAAGAAAGAAAAGAGCCTATTACCCCAGAATTCATACCATGAAAATAACTTTCAAAAATGAAGATGAGATACAGATTTTTTTCAGACATGTAAAAACTGAAAGAATTCTATCAGCAATAGACCTGAACTATAGGAAATGTTAGAGAAAGACCTTCAGATTAAAGAAAAATAACACCAAATAAAAATCTGCGTATATGCAAAGGAATGAAGAATACCAGATATATGGTAAATGTGTTACTAAATACAAATCAATAAACTCTTTCAAACGGCAAGCTCTTTATTTACTGATATCTCATTGTGAATTAGTTTAAGTAATTAGGTCAACAATAAAGGTAATCAGGTCAACAATAAACTTAAGATTTAGATTCAGGAAATAAAAATATTAATATGATCAAAGAAAGATGTGTGTATGTTTAAGTAATAGAGTAAAGAAGTATAACTGCAGTGTGAAAGGTGGACAAAGTTTTGGCCCCTATGTTGCATACATCCTGCAGAAAAGTGTGACTATTCAGGGCTCTCCTGTTCAGCAATTTGTCCTTGGACAAGCCACCACACTCCTTCTCTGTGCGTGAGTTTCCCTATTTCTATAAGTAAAGAGCAACGCTTATGTATTTATTTTTTTAAGCTCTAAAATGAGAACGTATCAAAATCAGTGTGATTAACCACTGAGCTATTATGCATCCCAGCACTCACTAATGGCACTTATAATTTCCACCTCATAATTTAGTACTTCATTATATAAGGTCTCATACCATTTGTTTTACAAGAGTCAGCCAATATAATTGATTTCACAACTGAAAATGGTAGTATAAGAACAAAAACAGTTTTCAGCAACAAAATTTTTCTTTTTCTTTTCATGTTTCTTCTGAGGAAAACATTTTCTTTTAACTCTAAAAGATCTTAGTGTACATGCATAGTACATGATACTTCAATATGCACAGCAAGAAAAAGAAACAAACAAAAATGCTTTAAAAATAACTTACTTGATCACTGAGAAGAGAGTCCTAAAAAGCTGAATAAAAATTTCATTGCAATCTTCCAATTCAAAGCAGATGTTATATGATTTAACCCAAGCTAAATTCTTAAATAAATAAATAAATAGAAATTATTACATATACACAGAAGTTATACAAAGCAAACTCATTAAAAATTTTAATTTTTAGAATTATAAATATATATCAAAGCTTAAAAAGGCTCAACATATAAAATTACAGTTGTTTAAATAGTCGTGTACTCTGACCTTCAAAAAGAGATGCATCTGTTGGCATTAACCTTCTCTACTTGAAAAACACCGAATTGTTAAAGGTTGGTAAGACACATACATACAAAACATATGGAGCAGTGAAATTTAATTCAACTTAATCTCTCTGGGAATTAGAAAAGAATAAAAACAGAAAGATGAGAACAAAGTTTCAAATACTGTAACAGTTTTTCCAGTGGACTATGCTTTCTCTTTTTAGGACATGAGGAACAACGACAAAAAGATTGTAAATGATTATTTTCTCTAGTGGGCTTCTTATAAAGCAAACAAACGAATAAGATTCATTTTACATTATAAAGTTACTATAAAGAATTTTCTACTACATAAAATAGTGTGATATTTATTAAATTAAATGTTTTTACCTCTAATAAATAAAAGTATCTATTAAACTGTGGGCTCTTTGTATCCTCCAAACCTTTTAATTGTCTGGTGATAAACAAAAATATGTCCTGTTTAAAAAAAAAGTGACAAAATATATTAATTTAGACACAAATACTTATTATTTTCACAGTACACTAACAGACTGTATATATATACATATATATATATATGTGTGTATATATATATCTCCATTACAAACTCCAATAAAAGAAAATTCTCCGTTAGCTAAATGACTTGGGACTAGCCTAGTCCATTATTCAAAATATCTAGAAAAGAGCAAATCACATAAAATTACATTCCTTAGAAACAAAAGATTATTACTGCCACAAATCTTTAGGCTTTCTCATTCTGAGAGAACCATACATTCTACATCTTGTTACCCTTTCTAGTACAGAACTTTCAGTTTAAATCACTATCTTCATCTTGTGTCATGGCAATTTTCTTCAGTTTAAGGACATGGATATGATTCTTTTCATTACCATTTCCTATACATAAATAATTTTCAGCACCTTGTTTTAAGTTTGATACGTGACTACAAAGTTGTGTGGAACAAAAGCAATATGATAAAGTGGTCTAAGTGTGCTTTTCACAATAGTGCTCCATTTCTAAATAAATTTTTTTAGAAGTTTTAACCCAAAATAATATCAATGTGGAACAAAGTGATTTTAGGACTATTTAAAAGAAAGCAGTCCAAAGGATTATAATTTGCCAAGAATAAAAGTATTCAAAATATAAAATCAGCTCAAGAGATCAATTCAAAAGAGGAATTTCTAAAACATTTCAAACAAAGGCAGAACCACCAAGATGAGCATATAGTTTTATGTGTAGAATAACTTGGAGAAGAAAACAGTCACTGGATTATGAAAATTGTTATACTGTTGTTTTAAAAAGTGCCATTCATGCACAACGCCCATCAATTCAGCCATTTGGGCTGTGAGACAGGTTATCCCGAAGGTTAGAATTAATAATTTGTTTTAGAACCTATTATCTTCTTATGATAAGATGACTGATGTGAAACCTGTGTTCCTAAGGGTAGTAAGCTAAACTATAAAAGTAAATCAATTCTATAAAGATTGTATTTACCTTAAGTTTATCGTGGGAAGTATATGGAGCTTCTGGGGCATAGATTCTAAAGATGTCAGCCAAACAACATGCTACAAGGAGACGCACATCTTTATTGGGATTCCTGAGAAAAAATTCAGATGCTAGATGCAAGGCTAGTGGGAGATACTGCTGTTTTTCATCTTCTGAGTCCTGATCCATATCCATAAAAGTTTTTACTACCATCTGCAAAAATGTGTAAAAGGAAAATGTAATCAACTCCTGATATTTAGAAACCAGAAGGAGATATATATATATATATAATCTCATATATATTATATATATATATATATTATATATATATCTATCTCATCTCCATTACAACACAAACTAGCAATCAGTTACTATCAAAGGATTCACAATTAATTTTCATAAATCTTCATTTAAGAATCTGACTAAACTGGGGGAGGGTATATATAGCTCAAGCGGTAGAGTGCATGTTTAGCATACAGGAGGTCCTGGGTTCAATCCCCAGTACCTCCTCTAAAAATTAAAACAAAACAAAAGAAAACACTTAATTACCTCTCCTCCCAGAAAAAGAATTTGAGTAAAGCGGGGAGGCTATAGTTCAGTGGTAGAGTGTGTGCTTAGCATGTAGGAGATACTAGGTTCGATCGCCAGTGCCTCCATTAAAAAAATAAATAAATAAACCTAATTACCTCCTCCACAAAACAAAACAAAACAAAACAAAAGAATTTGAGTAAAGACTACAAGCATGGACAAGTATCAATTTCTGGATTACTCATAGATATATTGTCTGCATTGTTCCAGATTTATGAAAAACTTAATCTCATTATTAATTTTATATCTAGCCCAAGGAAAAAAGTTCTTGGCTTCATGTGCACAACCAAATTCATCTGATATTTTGCACTATCATCAATAATGCTTCGTTTATACTTTATTATTAAAGCTGCCTTGATTTAGGATCCTTAAAACTATCTTATTTCACACTTCAATGGGTTTTGTAATTCACAATAGAAAGCCATTTTAAATATTTTTATAAAGTTGTACTTCTGATTAAAAGTTTTAATTATAAAATAACCTCTGTATTTATGGTTACAAAATTAACAAATGTACATTTTTAGAATCACTCTAAAATGCAAAAAGGTATAATAAAAAAATTCATAATTTCTCAACCCCAGAAAAAAAACCACTATTTACATTTTTGTACATTTTATGCTGGTCTGTTTTCCCTGTAAAGATGCAAATACTGTCATTCTTTATTTATTTATCCAATCATGATCTTTTCCTTATGCCTTCAAAATTCTTCTTTAAATAAGTCAGACTTTACCTAACCAGTCACCACTGTTAAATATTGAAGTTGTACCTCTATTTCTATTTTGACAAGATTTTTATGAGATAAAGTGCTGGATTTTACCAAAATATTTTCTGCACCTACTGAAGTAATCATATTTTCCTCCTAATTCTGTTAATAGAGTAAATCCCACTGACTGGTTTTCTAATTTTAATGCATCACACACACTGTCATAAAATACAGACATCAGGAATGACATCTTAAAAAACAAAATTTGGTGTTTTTGTTATAAATGGCTTTGTACCCATATATAGCCTGGAGGTGGGGAGAGAGGAAGGAGCAGTAAAAGTGGAAACTGCCGACATCTGGAGAATACAGGAGTTCTCTGTATTATTCTTGCAACTTTTCTCAATCTGAAATTATATATCAAAATAAAAAGTCAAAATTAAAAAAGAATATATTAACCACGTAATATGGGGCAAACATACATATATTAATAATTGAAATGAAAGCTCACCAAACAGGACTTGTCTTTTCAAAAAAAGTTTATCAAATGAAGTTCAAAACTAATTGGGGGAGGGGAGGATGTATTTTTCTTTTGCTGATTTTTAATGGAACACATTTATCTGCATCATTAGCTTGATATATAGATGTTAATGGTATGGAAATAAAATCATATTTATAAAGTATTCTAATTCTACTTTAAAAACTTTTAACAGAAGTGCATAAGAGACAGTGATTTACAGTCATCCACATCTGTGTTGTTTTTTCCAGGTTAAGCCACTCGTACTACACTAGTCTATATTTTATGATAATGTGTGTGATGTATTCCTTTCTGAAAGTTTCTGAATTCCTTTCTGAATCCTATAAAATTCCTAAGGACCAGATGTTCTTTTTAAATTATTACTTTTTACCACACTAGTATTACTTCATCCAGAGCTTTATTTCTTTTAATATATTTTATGTTTATTCCCCTTGATTTAAACATTAATTAACATGTAGCTGAGAAAAATTGTTCCCCAGTTTTAGAAGTTGTTTCTTTCACCTTACTTTCGTCAGAAAAAGAATTTTTATCTGTTTTGTTAACAGCTGTATCCTCAATGATTAGAACAGGAAAAACACAAAGTAACCATACAAACTTTTTTTTTGGAAAGAACATTAAAATTAATAAAATCTACTTTGATAATATACATTATATATATTTTTAAAAATTGACCCATATGTCCCTACCATTCTGGCACAAAATTTCATCAGTTCTAGATAATCAACGAGTACATAACTTCTGTTGGGTAGAAATTTATTTATAATATTTAAGTAAATATATTCTGAAACATGGGTCTATAGCAGAGGACACAACTCGAAGGGAGGGACAAGGAAATAATGATCGGGGAGAAATGAAGAGTAGTCATGCCTCATCCAAAGAGAGAGATGGCTTCAAGTAATTGTTGCCAGGTGACAATGCAGATTTAGTACTGCAACATCATTGTTGATCAGGACACAATAAAATTTTAAGTGAAACTATCTGATTTGAGAATTTCAGTAACTGCAAAAAGTTCATACTATTGTGAGGGACATGCAAAACATATCTGTGTGGTCCTCAAATCAACAATTTGCAAATTCTTAGAAACATTTTCAAAGGAAAAATGTCAGCATAGCTATCATTTCAGGTAGAGAAATTATTCTGAAAAGCTGTTTCCCCACTTCTTTTGTACTTAAATAGAAACACAAGTTTTAACTAGGTAAAAAAATTACGAAGAAAATGTCCAATAAACTGAACATCATTAAAATCTAGAGGGCCTTCAAAATGTTAATGAAGATTTTACAGTATACATTCCTCAAACATACTACAGAAAATATCATTTAATTAAAGTTTTCCACACTAAAATGTAATGATAAAGACAGACTTTAGAACCTGCAAAAAAATTAATTCCGGAAACAGCCTAAATGTCCATCAACAGGTAACTGGATAAAGAAGATGTGGTATATTTATACAATGGAGTACTACTCAGTCATAAAAACCAACAACATAATGCCATTTGCAGCAACATGGATGCTCCTGGAGAATGTCATTCTAAGTGAAGTAAGCCAGAAAGAGAAAGAAAAATACCATATGAGATCGCTCATATGTGGAATCTAAAAAACAAAAACAAAAACAAACAAACAAACAAACAAAAACAAAGCTTAAATACAGGACAGAAATAGACTCATAGAGAATACAGACTTGTGGTTGCCAAAGGGGTGGAGGTGCAGACTTGTGGTTGCCAAGGGGGTGGAGGTGGGAAGGGATAGACTGGGATTTCAAAATTGTAGAATAGATAAACAAGATTACACTGTATAGCACAGGGAAATATACACAAAATGTTATGATAACTCACAGAGAAAAAAATGTGACAATGAGTGTGTATATGTCCATGTACGACTGAAAAATTGTGCTGAACATTGGAATTTGACACAACATTGTAAAGTGATTATAAATCAATAAAAAATGTTAAAAAAATTAATTCCCAGTGGAATAAAAGTCAAAATTTGAAAGGGACATCTAAGAAACTTCTAAAAAATAAAGAGAATATCTTTATGATGTGGAGTAGGAAGAATTTCTTAAATCAAGACACAAAAGCACTAACTATAGATTGATCCTTTCTGTAAAATTAAAATTAATGTGCGTTCATCAAAAGATACACTAAAATTTTTTAAAGCCATGCCAGTGAAGCTCACAGTGAAAGAGAATGTGACGATGAATGTATGTATGTTCATGTACAGCTGAAAAATTGTGCTCCACACTGGAATTTGACACAACAGTGTAAAATGACTATAACTCAATAAAAAAAAGTTAAAAAAAAAGCCATGCCAGTGAATGAGAGCCAATGAATATTTCGTACAGGCATAACCAATAAAGAATCTATCTAGTATATATAAAGAACTCCTAGAATTCAATAAGAAAAACTCTATTGTAAAAGTGATACATGACTTGCTAGACTAAGCACTTTTTGAAAGAAACTCGAATAGTCAATATAGTGGGGAAGGAAATCTCTTTGGTGGTCAAGGAAATGTAAAGTAGAACATTGGTAAGAACTGGTATCTTAATAATACTGAATTCTCTGATCCATGAATATGGTATATGTCTCCACTGATTCAGGTTTTTCTCTTCCAGACTGACTGAATACTAGCACAAGCATTGCATCTTTCTGGAAGGATGCTCTCTATGTTCCCACACGTGGTTTGCACACTTCTACCACAATGCTTATCTTGCTACACTCTGCTTTCTTATTTATCGTCTCTGCTATGGCCACAGCTGCACCTTGTTTATTTTTGTATTTTCAGCACAGAGAGTTGGGTTTGGCATATACTTAATAAAACTTTGTTAAGTGGTGAAAAAAACGGGGAAAATTTTCCAGCATTGTTTTGTAGTTTTCAATGTACTGGTCTTGTATATTTTTTTCACTCCAACTATTTTACCTATCTGGATGCTACTGTGAATTAAAAAAAAAAATCCCTTTTCCACTTCTTGTTGGTTCCTAATACACAGATGCAGAATTTTTACATACTGAGCCTGTTACATTGCTACACAGCTTTATTAGTTCTTGTAGCTAGTTTATGCATTTCTCAGAATTTTCTATAAGCACAGTATCATTTGCAAATAAGGACAGTTTTATTTGTTTTCTCTAATCTGTGTTGACAATTTCTTTTCCTTACTGCACTAGCAAGGCTATCACAAAAGTGAGAGCAGATAGTTCTGTCCCTTTTGAGATCTTAGGAAGCATTTGGTCTTTCACCAGTAAGTATTATGTTAAATGGGGTTTTCTGTAGATGCCTTTTTATCAGGTTGAGAAAGTTTTATCTCCTATCCCTAATGTGCTGTTAGTTTTCTACTGAAATAATCTGGTTTTCCCAATTTATGCTAGTGTTAAGATGTTGACATAAATTGATTAAT